AAACATTAGTAGTAATAAGAAAACATATATATACACACATATATCTTTTATATGATCAATCACACGATATTTCTGAGTGCTTATCTACTTCCATTTTACCTGTGAGATACGGTATATCAGTATCCAGAGCTGATTCATCTGTCCTCTCAGCTATAGAGGTTTTCATTCTTTCCAGCTATCTCCTGCTCCCAGAATATCCCATTCTTTCAAGCCCTCATCATACACTATGTACATTCACTGAAGATTCATTCATATTTTAGAACAAGGTAACAGTTTTACTCACTGAAGTGGGTGTGGGTGTGTGTGGCTGCACATGAGCATATGTGTGCAATCTCAACATTCTTTGGCTGCCTCCAGTATTGTTTTGGTCCTGCCTTGTCCAGGCTCACAAGAGCAGATGGTGTGCCTCTGCTCCCAAACTTGTGTTCAGCGATGTCTCAGTTGGTAGCTTGAAATCAGCCATGATGACAAGAGCTAATTTTATATCATGGAAGTAGATAGGTGGTACAAATGAGTTGCTTTGTTTTACCTGGTCGCCAAATTTCTTCCCAGCATAGTACAGAAGAGTTTAAGCATCAGGGCGGGGAGGGGAGGAAGGGGAGGTATTTAGTCATGGTTGCCACACCAGGCTCTTCTCTCAGAGATATTTCTACTTGGTAGCCACACAAGTGATACTGGACAGAACCAAATAGTAAATCATCTGAAATTATCTCCAGGATAGGGTAGCTGGCTTCCTCCGGTGGACACTGGAGAATGGTGAGTCCCCTATAGGTACGAGGTATCTCCTAGTCACTTGGTCATTCTTCAGGAAGTGTCCCACCGCTGTTGTGCTCGGTGCTCACTGCTCACTGCTCACTGCTTGCAGCCACGGGCCTACTAAGCAGCTTCCTTCGCTTCCACCTTCCCTCCTCACATTTTGATACAATCAAAGAGCCAACAAAATTGAGGTCACTGGCAAAAGAGTTTGAACTTTTGAATGATTTTTATTAAACACCATTAGTCTACACTGCACAGTTAATGAAACAGCAAAGCTCCAATTTCAGAATGATTGAGCATGGATCTGAAGAGCAGTTCAGGGTCCCCTAAGCCAATGTGAGCACTATGAGTGATTCGTTAACACTTCATTTCCGAAGCAGGAAGGGGTATGAACTGCAGTCTGGCCTCCCGGGGCTTCCCCACCCCCCCACCCCCAACCCCCACCCCCCTGTGTCCTCCCCACAATGCAGTATTCTTTATTTGTTGAAAGATTACAGAGAAAATGCGATGGACTTGGTAAAGAGGATTCTGGATTTGTGAGGAGGAGAATGGAAAGGGAGCTAATACTTTTTCTTTTGCTGGAAATATCAGATGGTAGGACTAATATCTGAGACCAGCTTGTCTGCTGAGTCTCTTGCCAGAGTAAATGTTGATTACCAATACACAGATGCCATTTCTGTTGTTGGAGTTTGCTAACACCAAAGAGAAAATGAATCTGAGTTTAATTATGAGAATAAGGCTGGCTGTGCGAGTGGAAATGAGAAACAACAACAGCAACAACAAGAACGACGACGACAAAGAATTTAGTCTGCCAGTCGTAACACAACACAGACAACTGGCTCAAGTATTTTCCCCCAACAGAATAGAATTTGAGGGCACTGAACGGACCCATCTGTTGGACATTGTGTAGCTATCTCACCTTGCCACACATTTTTCTCAATGGGGCTAGTGCTGCTCTACGCAAGCAGTTCATTCTTTACTGAGTATCATACCCAGTGATCCAGTTTGGTTTTGCCACCTGCTAAACCATGCAGGTGAATTTTCTCATGTCTGTTGAGAAGTAAGATGGGGGCTGCCCTCTCACAACTCTCAAGTATGCCTTCAGAAATACTTTCCAGCTTCCAACTCCAACTTGAGCTTCTGGGATGCGAATTTGGATGAAACAAGTTCTGATTCAGGAACGATATGATAGAACAAGAATCTTTCCGATGTAGACCAAATCCCGTACATTTTGCGATGCCAAGTCCAAATGGAAGTCCATCCATTTGGAAATGCAACAAAACACATCTTAACCTACGGTTTCTACCTTTTACAACTTGTTCTGAAAATATGTGTACAAGGCATCCCAAGTTCAAGTCTTTTAAAAGGAGCAATAGCTAATCTGCTTTTCCAATTTTGTCCTCTGAAAAATCTACTAGTACGTTCCCAATGAGATTATTATTAACAGTCTATGGGCTGGCTAACAACATGCTTACAGCTAAATTCTACCCCAAGGACCACACTAGTAAACTCTTTTCAAATTAACCCTACCTACCAAACTCAGATAGTAATATGACGAAACCACTAAAAAATCCAAAACTAATTAAAAACACAAAGCCAAGCCAACATTATAACACAAACTTGTCAGACTCTTTGCGGTTGGAGCTTGAGTGACAAATGAAGGCATAGTGGTGGCCCAATCTGGGTCACATGGCAGGGCGAAGAGTATTCCTTAACTTTGCTCAAATAGAACTGCTTGTTACTCTGCCCATTCCCTTACCTTCACATGTTTTTAAGACGTGTCTCTCCAAGCCTCCACCAAGGTCTAGAGGCACAATCTTTCACTACCATCCGCCTGTCTTTTTTTCCTTCCCACAAACTGGCACACTGAAGAGATTCACTTAACAAAACATCTCAATCCCTCAACCTCTCAAATAGCTGCACACTACGGATGCACATCAGCCTGTACAAGGTAATTAACAGAGTGCCTAAAAAACAGCAACATTCCTTGGTCATGAAACAAATGATGCCTCATTTCCAGGAATAGGAAAGGTAATGCTTCCTCCATGTTTAATTGGTGTCTAAGCCGCATTTAAAATGGGTCTACTAAGTAATCAGGTGAAATTCCAGAGCTCAACTGTCAGATTTGATATAATCATGCTGCTGATTTGGCACACACTCAGCCATCACAGATGACAGCGAATCCTCTTGCCTCCCTGTTGTATGTATGTAGATACAACACGCTGTTGAAACTGGAGCTATCAATCTTTTATCCATGGGGCAATGTATTTGTTTCTCTGGAAACTGCCCCTAGTCTTTTAATTTGTCGTTACGGGAGATTGGATTTCAAGGAGAATCTATTCCTAAGTCTATGATGGTCTAAGATCATGGTCGAGATTGAACTTACAAGTCAAGCCAGTAGTCTTCATTAGAAAGTAATAGCCAGGTAGTGTACCTGGCAAGCCATGGATAATAGAGAACTTGAGTCACTGCAAAGTCATCAGCTTAGTTTTGATATGTGAAACCCACTTCGGGGGTTTAGAGTCTCTCATAGTTTCCTTTTCCTCATTTAGGAGGCTGAGCAAAGATTCAGCTTTCACTTGTATGTGAGTACATGTGTCTGGGTGCATGTATGTGCAAGTGTAAGGATTGTTGTTGAGACTGTAAACAAAAAAGCTCAACCATGTTGGGAGCGTTAAAAGTGCAGGGTTCAGCTGCTGGGATGCTCCCATCAGCCACATTAGCAACATGGCATTTGCCATTGAAGTATAACTTTTACCACCTTATACAACAAAGGGCTTTAGACTCAAAGATGACCAGAACAGAGCTCACATCTGGCTCTTTTGCAACTGGGAATATATCTAACCTTGACAATGATTGTGCAGTGATCACCTGCTGCTCCCATCACAGATCTGCATGACTTGCTTTAGAAATCATACAAGTTTGCATCTTTCATGTGCATATCTATTATTCATCTGGTCATAACTCAGTGAACAGAATTCAACAACTCAGTAGATTAAAGGCTACATGGAATTATATGCCAGCAGGTAATTATAAGTAACTAATGCATGGCTAGTGTTTACTACAGTGTGGGATTCTTCTGATGGGCTGGAACACCAAAGATGATATTTACATGGTGATGTTTAGGGGCATAAGATGCACGGAGAGGATCATAAGGAGGGAATATATTTATAATTTTAAAAAGAAATGGCCCAAATTAGGTGAACAGGTCTCAATAATCAGAGTTCTTTCTAAGCAAAGCACTCCAGGGTAAAGCACGACCCCAACTCAGTTTTTTAACGTTAGTAACTACTTACAGAGTTTGGAGTTTTCTTTGGACTTTTCATGGGAATTATTCACTCAAAAAATCAGTGGTTGTATTTCATTCAAAAGCTAATGAGCTAAAAAAAAAAAAAAGGGAAAAGAAAAAAGATGAAAGAAAAGTGTAGAAAAAATAACCTCCTAAAATAGAAAATGTGGATAATTATTGAGGAAGTTAGGTTCAGTTCTGAAACTTCTACGAATCAAATTATATATTATGACTTCTAGGTAGTAGTAGTAGTAATTGATTCTTGTTTGTAGACATATGAGCAAAACACACTTTAAAATCCTGCCTCCTGACTGCAAAGGAGGCAGAGGTGCGAAATCCGTGTCAGATGTTTTCCAGTCCTGTCGCATCTCCCAACTTAAGATAAATGTAGCATTTTGGCTACTAAGGCATGCATCCACCAAGCTGCTCCTGAGGAGGACAGTTTGGCACAAAGGGATTCCAGGTGAGGATATAAGCTTCAAAAATATTTGCAGTATGTGAAGTTCAAAAATATTTGTGCCAGCTGATGCTTAAAGTAGTCTAAATAAATGTTGCACTTCCTTTCCATCATTAAAATCTTTTCTTCAAAAATAAGGAATTAGAAATAGGATGCTAACCAAAGCCCTCTGTGAGGCATAGCATCATTTCAGGAGTATCATTACTGTGTTCTTTTTTTTCCCCTTGATATGCTGCTTGATTTTATGATGTTGCTATAACATCTAACTGGAGGTGGGATTAACAACAAAAATTCTCACCTGAAGGTGTAATATGTGGGAACCACAGAAGTTGAACAGTGGATTCTGAAATACATTCTTATTTGGATATAATGCTATAGTTTGGGGGGCATAGCTACTGCTGAAAATCTTTGCAAGGTCCCTCTTGTACAAGTTTTCATTGGCATATCAAATGACTTGTTCCAATGCTCAGGGACCCATTATTGTCACAATTGCTTCCCATTCATTGTGTTGGGCAGTGTGGCCTTAAAATGATATTGTAGGGACTATCGTTTCCATAAAGATGTCAGGATCTGAGAGATGCATATCAAAAACTCAAAGGTAATAAAACATAACAAGGCTTTCAAGTTGTAGTGTCCACTTACAATGACTTCAGTTTTTCACAGATATCAAAAGAAACATTAAAAAAAAACAAACACAACCAAAGAGAACTATCCCAGATGCTTGAGGTTCCACCAGTGACCATCAGTACGCTGGTAGAGGTAGAGTGATGGGCAGTGATGCTAGACAGAGGAGAGCACCCACTACAACAAATGGGCATCAATGCGCAGCCAACACAGTCCCTGGCGAACGTAGCGGACAAGATTGGTCATGCTGCTGTGCTGGGTCAGGGGCCCCATCAATGTATCCAGATCGCCAAAGAATTCTGAAAAGCAGAGCAATCCTGGGTGAGTAGTTCAAATAACACCTTGGAAATATGCACCAAGTGAAGAAACTGTCTTTACATCACACCACAATAATATGCACAGTGGAAAAGGTATCCACTTGTTAATCCATCTGTTCATTCATTCAACAAAAATTAATAGAGTGCTTTCTAAGGGAGCAAAATTCCACATGCATGTCAAGCACTATTATGTTAATCTTTATGGAGCTCCAAAGAACTCAGAAGCATGAATAGTATTTGTATTGTTGTGATTAATTAAACAAAATCTCTTTAAATCTGTTAATTCATTGTAAGTTTTACAAAATCATTACATATTTCATGGGTTATATATTTTTACACTATATATTTTATAGCATATTCCTAAAGTACATTATAATCCTGTGGAAGTTTGTTTTATATACATCCATATATATAAAATATATAAGTATTTGCCTGCATAAGTTTATATATAACATGTTATTTACATATTGAAATGCATGCATCATTTACACCTTTAAATGTATTCAAATATATTTTATATTGTATAATGAGCACATATCCTACAAATTTATATTTAGAAACCAGACCATATACACAAAAAGACCCGTTGAGATATCACATAGCATTTAATATCTGATATCAACTGTGTTTCCTTCTATGTACTATAAAAATACATTTTCCTCTTGTTTAAATGAACTGAGTCTACTGATTTTTCTTGGCATGATGCAGATGAAGCCAGTGACTCTGAACAGCAAATATAGTCACCAACATACAACCAAATAACTCTTGGAAGAATCTGATATAAAAAGTCTTACAACCGATTACTTTAGGGATGGAAAATGACCTACAAGTATCTTGTACCTAGCAAGTCCCTCCACCTCTCTAGATAGGAATGTTAAGTATGTCCAGCTAGCCGGGTTCCTGTGGCTCATGCCTGTAATCCTAGCTACTCAGGAGGCTGAGATCTGAGGATTGTAGTTTGAAGCCAGCCTAGGCAGAAAAGTCACCGTGGGACTCTTATTTCCAATTAACCATGTAAAAACTGGAAGTGGTTCTGTGGCTCAAAATGGTAAAGGACTAGCCTTGAGCAAAAGTGCCCAGGGACAGTGCCCAGGCCCCGAGTTCAAGCCCCACAATGGAAAAAAAATGAATGCCCAGCGGATTTCTACTGGATGACTGGGGAAAGGTACAGTCATGAGAGGCTACCTACTGGTTGTGTAGAACATTACAATGTGTATCTTGGGTGAGATGCATATATGGGAAATCTCTGTGATGTTTAAGAAGTAGCTAGGAATCTCTCATACTTGAGTTTGCTTGTCTTATATTTGGTTATGAGTGGTCTCTGTAGCTGGAGTCTTCTTTGTTAGCTTCCCCCAAAGAGAGAGTCTGGGGCAGATGAAAGATGGAAATATAGTGTGTCCTAGATTGGTTGGTATATATGCTCTGGCCTTCTTAGAAAGCAATTTCCATGCATGGTTTATATATGCCTGATTGCTTGGCAGATGGTATTTCAGTAAAACAATGCATTTATTCTTCCTGCTATGTGTAACATATGGGCTCCTTCAGGAGGTATCAACTTCATTTGATTATGGCATACTTTTTAACCTGTGCTATGCAATAAAAGTAATTTTTGCTAAAAGGACTATATTGTTTCTGGCATCTAAAATATTTCCTTAGGTAATATAATAGCAAGGAAAATATTAAAGGACCTAGTCCGTGTTGGATAGATGTTAGCTTCATAGAAAGTCTGAATACTTTCTGGGAGTTCTGTGAGGTTTTTTTGACATCCTTATCTAGACACTCAGGTCACCATTTTAGTGATGTCTTCCAGAAATAGGATGTGTAGCTGTAGAAAGTAGAGAGCAAGGCTGCTACACCAAAGATCAAAGGACAGCATTAGCCCCATTGGACAATTTTGACACCACAATTTTCTGCAATTGCTATCTGGAACTGCATGGGTGGGCAGGCATGAGGCAAGGGTATTGGTCCTTTACTGAGGGACTACATCTAATCCATCTCCATGACACAATTGTGTAGAAAAAAGTACAAGGACACAGTTGTCTACCGTGGGATATAGGGCTCCTACCAAAGAGAAACTCCTTAGTTCTGAGATTTCTATCTGCACAAACCAGATGTGAGAAGAATCCTCAAATCTAAGCAGATCAGAAATAACCTGTGTGGGAAACTCAGGCCATGAGGAGAATATTTCAAACTAGAAGCTTTTTCTAGTCCACTGAAAACCCAGTGTCAGCATTAGTGGGATGAATCCTCTATGTTGTAGAATAATGAAGTTGTTTTGATTCAACATTAGGCAGAGAATTTAGCAAGTCCTTGACAGGCTGTGCTAATGACAAGATTAGCATCATTTCACCCTAACATCAGCACAACCACAATGTCACTTCTGAAAAGGCATGCAGTTAATTTAGAATGAATTACCTTAACAGGTTTGAAAATGGATGCAATTATAAAGAAAATCCATAAATATCGAATGACCCTCAAGTTACCAATAGAAAATATGACAAAGTGGCGCCAAAATAGCTAGATAAATCTTAACATGCCTATGTCTTTGCCTGAAATTTTAGAACTCTTGGATGGGCTTGATTGTGTGGGTCAGTTTCCTCTGAGTTTTCAGATGTCTATGAAGACAGACAAGGCAAAATTGCCCTTGCTGAGATAATTGAATTCAAGATCCTACCAAAGAGCTCAGAGGATCTGCTTCTAATCTTGCTTCCTAGATGTGCAATGCACCCTATTGGTAAAGAGTTGAGAATGTAGAATCAGGAATTTCTACATTCAGTTCCTGCTTCTAGCAAACACTGAAAGCTCTGCTATCATAGGCGAGTTTCTTAACCTCATAGAAACTCAGTTTCTTCATCTATACAATAGGGAAAAATGAATAAGAGATGTCAAAGAAGAAAGCTAATAGTTTAGTTCCTAAGAGACAAACAGATGTAACCAATATATGTACACATTCCCAGAGTCTGTATAAGTTTGAGGCTAGGTTCTGGATCAAAGTCTCAAATTTTGCGATGTGCTTTAATATATATTATGTACACCTAATAGTACAGAGCAAAGAAAGAGGGCAGTTATTTGTAGGATCTTGCAGGCAATATTTTACGCCACATGCTTTACATATTTCATCCATCTCTATTACCCTTTGTGGTGGTTTCACCATCATCTTTCTCATGATCATCTATATTATATTTATTATATAAGTGAAAAACTAGGAAGTAATTCTTGGATTGTAGTAAGTTATAAAGTTAGTTACAAAATGGTGCATGACTCGGGCACAGTTCCAACTTAAATTAGTATGAAGTCTGCATCCTTCCTTCCTATTCTAATGGGATTCTTTTCCCAGATGTTCTTTGGCACAGTGGCAAGGAGAAGGGGTTGGGAAGTCTGTGCTTCATGGTATAAGCCATGCATTGCGGGAAGCACTCCTAAGACTTAGAGCGTACAGTTTGAGGTGAGAAGAGGAATAATCTGAAATGCTGGTGCATTTGTGGCTAGAGAAGGGACTGGCTTTGCAATGAGGACACTGCAGCTTAGGAGGACAATTGGGCCAGGAGGCCCATCAATTTCTTCTTGTTCAAATCCCTAGGAACTTTCATCTTCACATATGTGGCTTACATCCTCCACCTAGTCCCCAAGTTCATTTCATGAAGCTCAAACCAGAGAGGAAGCTAGTATCTCCACATTACTATGCACGTATTTCTACCACTATAGCTTGCTTGTCATGTTTTTGGACTCTGATCTAGAAAAGCCTACATCTGTCCCCACATTGACAGTCTATGACTGCTGGGCTAGAAGCAGTCATGTCCAGTGACTGTGTACAACTATACAAAAGTGTGGTTTTGTAATAGCTTCAATAGCTAAGGTCTCAGATGGAAGCATGAGTCACTAATGATTATTGACTAAATTTCTGGTGAAGCAGAGCCCCCTTTGCATTTGTTCTGTGACAAACCTCCCATGTTTCCTTTATCCAGCTTCCTACACACATGAAATAGTAGCTGAGCTTTGCTCCTTATTGCAAGTGGAAGCTACAACATCATGTATTCAAGTGCAGTTGATCATGGTAATGGAGACAGATGACCTCAGATCCACCTTACTTCTCAACAACAAAAAAAGAGAGAAATTCATTTCATAGAAGCCACCAGCATCTTCATGTGCCAACCATATTTCTTGCATTTGCTTCTATTTCTCTGTGTTGATCTTTGGCACAAAGTGAAATGCAGAAATATTTGCCAAAACATCACTGTTCCGATTACTTAAAACTGTATAAAGGAACAAAATTTCCAGCTTTCATTTTCACTCTCTCAGTACAAATAGGTCACTGTGTCAGCCCTGAGCTCAACTCCTCTCATCTAAGACCTGGAAATGAGACTACAAGATAAAAGACTACCAAGAATAACTCAACTCTTCCAAGCCCAGGTAACTCCATGTCCGTCTGTGAGCAGTGGGGAGAGCAGATGAGCATACCTTTGTTCTCTCTTGTCAGTTTGTCAGCCATGTCCCAGTGTTCATAGCCCCGCAGCACATTGCTTGTGATGTTGACATGGCTAGCAGCCATGTGGTGAATGCGCTGGGGAATGGTAACAGGGCCGTTGTTGCAGTTCCCCATTGCGTTGATCGGAGAGACGTTGTGGAGAGACACAGGGGATGGCGTGTTCCTGAAGGAGGGAAAGAGGTGGGGCTTGTTAGATTGGCAGGGAAGAGGGCCAGCAAGCTTCCAGGCCTCCCTCATCACACTGGGATCTCCTCAGACTACCACTTGTCAAAGTGATCCCAGTATGGGAGATGTAACTGGTGGAGAGCAGCTGTTCCCCAATTCCAATGTTGCTGTCCACAATATATCCTAGACTTTTCTCCAGAGGCTCTGGTATAGAAATAGATGATCATTATAACAGACCCACCTCATCAATGTTAGACTGGAGAATGAGCCCATTCTCATTTTCTAACCTGAAACACTAAAATCCTCACTGCCTCTGACAATCATGGAGGGCTCCATACACAGTGTTGTATTTGCTCCCAAATACCAGGAAAAGCCATCTGGATCTTTCACTGTCATTACGTTGGTTCACATGTGTAACCTTTATGTTGAATATATCTGACAAGTGACAGTGTTTTCGAGAGAGAAACAAATCTGAGCTCTGATTTCTCTACCTGCTCCTAGAACAACAACTGGTAGTTAGAAAACACTTGATGTGCAATACTGTTTTGTGGAAACAAATGTGACAGTATTTTTTTCATTATTTTTTGGATTAGGTCTGGTATTTTGGGGGGAGGCAACCTCAGACCACAATCCTGCTACTTACCACCAAGTAGCTGCCTGGTTTTCTTTTCTTTTTATTGTAAAGATACTGTACAGAGGGGTTACAGTTACATGAGTAAGGTAATGAGTACATTTCCTATTGAGCATTGTTACCCCCTCTTTTGTTTTTCCCCTACCATCCCTTCCCTCCCACCTCCCCAACTCCTCCCTCCCCCTCCCTCTGAAGTTGTAAAGTTAGTTTTCAACATAATGTCTTGTACATCTCATTGTTACAATGGGTCCACCTGTATCCTTGTTGCAACATTTGAATACAATTACAATGACCAAAATATAGTTCCTAAAGCCCTCCAGGACAAGAGGCAGTATTAGGGAAGCAGGGGGGGAATGCAGGAAGCTGAATCTCTTTAGATATGGCACAGATGTGTGCTGTTAATTGGTGACTGTTTATCTGCACGCTGCTTTGTAAAGAGAAGCCTTCAGAGTTCCTACTTTATGCAGTAAATCTTTTTGGACATGGGTTTTTTTTTTTTTTTACTTGGGATATGTTTTTATTTCAGAAGTTCAGTGTTCAATGGAACATTGTTTTTAACAGAGAAAATGGTATAAGACAAGTACTCTCATTTTTGGCATTTCCATCCATGGGTTTTTATTAAATTCTTCAACATCGATCATGAGGAGGTTACCTGCTGGCTGCACACAGTGTGGAGATAAATTTTCTCCCAAGGTCTGGGTTTAGGTTGCCTGCTGCAGGCCCTTCTAGGAACATTCTTGAATGTCTGGGTGACTTCCTGTGCACAGGAGCAACATCTATGTGTCTCTCATTTACTTTCCTCCTCAGTCACACGTCAAATGATTTTTAGGGCACTTTACCCATTTTATCAGGAAGACAAACACTTTAAGGATGTGAAAAATGGGGAGTCAGGTGTTATAATATACACCTGTAATCTCAGCTACTTGAACGGGAAGATTCCCTGAGCTAGGAGTGTGACGTCATCCTGAGCAACACAGTGAGACCCTGTCTCTAAATCAAGAGGAGTAAATAAGCAATAAAAATGGTGAAAAACTTTATCTAGGACTCCTAGAATCTGTATGATAGAAAGAAACTCTTCTCTACCCCAGCACATTAACAAGGAGCCCTAGTTCATTCCTGCTCTCACCGTCCCCTTACCAGTTGCTGTGTTGGCAGCCCTATATTTGCAGAGTTGTGACTGTGCTTCTACACCTGCTCACAGAATGACTGTACACCCTGTTGGGTAACACATCCATTTGATTTGAGGGAATAGCAATCACATGTGCTAAAATGCTGAAGTGCTGCTCACTGGCTCCAAGAGCAGTGGGAACAATTACCACTGAAATCCTCTCCTGCAGATTAGCACAGACTGTGCCCACAGCCACAGGGAACATTTGTGCCAATGGTATGTATGTTCTGGCATGCTCTGGTGTGAGAGGGAAGATGGAGTGTCACACTATCTCTGTACTTCTGTGGCTTAGGAGTAGAATAGTGAGAATATTAGTGAGAATATTCTTGTTCTGTTTTTAATGTGGAGGTATTTTTAACTGGAAATTGTTATCTTTAAGTAGTTGTACAAAGGAGGTGCCATTTAACAAAGACGTTTATTGATACAATGCATCTTGATCGGTACTGTCATCTCCTTCAACATTCTCACCTCTCTTTGAGCCACCTGTTCCCTTACTTTTTCTTTATTATGAAGTATACGTTACAATTTTTTACTTCTTGATAAAATGATGGATTCTCAAGGCAGGACTGAGTGGGGGAGAAATCTAAGTTAAGGGACTACAGTACAGAAAGGGTAGTTGAGAGCAACCCCCCCCCCCAAATCAAACAAACAGTGAATGCTGTTTTGTTTGTATGATGGGTTGTAAATACTATTTTCGAGTCCTTTGTCCCAGTAGTGGTCATTAAGTTCTGTCAATTTATGTAAGAGAGGAATATGTTCTCATTTGTAATGTCTAGAAAAAGGGACAAAGCTGTCAAGGGCCACAAATGTTGAAAAAAGGTCCACACAGTTGTTTAATCCCAAGAGACTTGGCTTCCAGCTCCAGTCCTGCCCCCAAATTGCTGTGTGCCACCATGCATGTCCCTTCTTCTTGTTCAGTGTTACATTCTTACCTTGAATTAAAAGATTGATTTCATAACTTCCAATCATGTCCATAGGATCCAAGTGGTGACATTGATCAAGATATATTGTATCTATAAACTGACATGTTGAATTCAAAATGCTTTCTACCAGTACTTAATGTAAAAAAGAAGAAACTAATGGAAAACCAATATTGTCTCTACCTCACTATCTTAAAATGCTTTTTTGCACTTACATATGGAAGCTAAAACAACTGTTCATGTTCTTATACTAAATTCTATGATTTGATGCTGATAAGTTGATCTATCTATCACATTGTGCTAATGAAAGGGAAATATTAAAGATTCATAAGAAATAATGATTGTGGAAAAGACAGAGGGTAAGAGCAGAGTTCACTTGTCTTGGTATATTCATTCACTCGGCCCACACCAGAGCTCAGTAGGCATGTCCATTGATAGGTATTGTCCTTTCCTCCACACTTCCAAGGTACACAGCAATGAGCATGCACATAGTAGCACATGCTTCCCACCACTTCCACTTGATCATCCTCATCCAATCTGCTATCCTGCTCACCTTATAACTATGATCGGTCTCTTGTTTTACTTTGAACTTATCTGCCAATCCTTGTCCTCTTCTCTCTCTAGGAATATATATCCCCCAAATACTTGCATGGCTTGTTCCACATTGTCCTTCTCTAATAAACCTGTTCACGACTCTATCACTGTTCTTTCTCCTCTCTCCATTAGACCTTGTTGTTCCCTTTATTTCTAGTCCATTCCTATCACTAACCATCATCTAGTATGTGTGTGTGTGGTGTGGGGGGGGGGCAATCCTGGGGCTTGAACTCAAAGCCTAGGTGCTGTCCCTGAACGTTTTTTGCCTAAGGCTATCGCACTACCACTTGAGCCACATCTTCACTTCCAGCTTTTTGTTGGTTAATTGGAGATGAGTCTCACAGAGTTTCCTTCCCAGGCTGGTTTTGAAGTATGATCCTCAGATCTCAGCCTCCTGAGTAGCTAGGAAGCACGAGCCACCATATGTTTCCATATCATGGAGTTTTCTTTTTGTTACTCCAACAGAATATAACCTCAGTGGAGTCAGGGATTTCTTTTCTTTTTCTTTTTCTTTTTTATTGTGAAAATACTGTACAGAGGGTTACAATTACATAGGCAAGTTAATGAGTACATTTCTTATCAAGCATTGTTGCTTCCTCCTTAAACAAGGAATTTTTTAAAATATTCTATTCTGTGCTATGCTATACCATGGCATCTAGAAAAGTGCTTATTATATATTTTGCATTCAGTAAGTACAAGTGGACTACGTGAATGATTTGTCAATACTACTTAGCATTATTTCATAAAATGTGCTCCACAAGGTAAAAAGAGAAGAATCTATGTAACACAAGCATGAGGACTGTAAAGGGCCTGGCACTGTGTCTCATATGAAGTAGACACAGTAAACATTTGATGATTGAAATGGTGGATGACCCGCCATTTGAAATAGAACACACAGTTTAATAAAGGATAAAAGCCCACTACTTTCTGGTATTTTATAGTAAATATCAAGAGATGCATAGATCAAGAGCTTTAAGAGTTCTGGATGTAGGATCCTTATGTTTTCCACTAAAAAAGAAAATGTCACTAATAGCTGTAGCCACCATTTGCTGATAACCTACTATGCAGAATGCATAGCTTTCATCCATCCATCAGCATTATGTCTAATCTTCCCCACAAGGAAAATTCTCAAGGAAATTTCTGCTGCCTATTGTCTCATATATGATAAAAATGGCCTCAGAAAAGCAGTTCAGCTCTTTCCTAGGTGTCACACAGAACATCAGCCAAAGAACCAGGATTTGACAGCCTATCTGTTTCTCTCCAAAACCTATCCTCCTTCCACTGTACTATGTTACTCCATCTTATTATCCACTCGACTAAAGATTTCACTTGAGTTGTATTCATCTTCACCTTTGTGTCCACATCCACCCTGGTTCTTTTCTAGTACTCTCTCAGGTTTGTGTATGTCATCTGTGTCCCCACCAGCAACAGTCCTCTATAAGTATGTTGTGCATGTGGGTGTTTTTTTTTTTAACTTATTTATATTTTCATGGTACTGGCATCCACGTTTGAGACTTACTTGGTAAGCTGGCATTCTAACACTTGAACCACACCTCTTTTTTGCTGGTTTAGCTGCTCCTCTAATGTAATAGGGGATTATGAGCTTTCCTTGCTCAGGCTAGCCACAAAACATCAGCCTTCCACTCCCAGCCCCCAAGAAATTAAGTTTACAATGTGAGCCACTGGTGCCTAAGGTAGGAGATGTTTTCCTTTTTACTTAACCTGAATGATCCCTCCAGTGACTTTCATACTTTTCATTCTTTGGACTGGTCAGTGTCTCCAAAGTGTGGAGGTATCCCTTCTTACACCTTCAATACAGTACTGATAGTTTTCTGTTTACTAAAATAGCTCTTCTGAAGGCCTCAAACGGCCTCTTTGTTTCCAACATCAGTTGCCTTCATTGCTTTATTTCTTTCTATTGTCTCTTCATGACACTGGAGATTTTTGTCCAGGGTTTTTAAATTCTCTATATCATGCCTTTCTGCTTTCAACACTATGGATCTGTAAATTCAGGTCATCCCCTATTCCTATATGGCTTCTGAGCTACAGATAGTTGGAGAAGTAAATTTGCAACATATTTGATGAGAATGATAATTAAATTTGAACTCTAATTAAGAAAACATATTTAAAAAAGAATTCCATTCTATGCATTAATAAGCTTGCTTTTCAAAAATGTACTTAACTAATTTTATTTTTATTTTTTAATTTTTATTGTAAAGGTGATGTACAGAGGGGTTATATTTATATAAGATAATGGGTGCATTTCTTTTTGAATAGTGTTACTCACCCTCATTTCTCCCACTTCCCCCTGACTCCTTTCTCCCCCAAGTTGTAAAGTTCATTTCCAACATAGTGTCTAGTTGGTTCACTCTTTATCTCACCGTTTCTGTGATTCTCCTTCCCTTCCTTAAATCAGCTAAACTTATATACAAGACAAAGTGTACAGAAATTTAAAAAAAAAACCAATGACAATAGGGTATAAACCAAAAGAAAAAAGAAAGAGTAAAGAAATAACTGCAAGTAGTACGTTATAAAAATCTGTTCCCATTTCTTGGAATTCATTTTGATAAAGTTCAACAACCCCATTAATAAGTGGGCTAAAGACTTAAAGAGAAACTTCTCTAAAGAAATACAAATGGCTAATAGATACATGAAGAAATGTTCAACATCTCTGGCCATCAAAGAAATGCAAATCAAAACAGCATTGAGATTCTACCTCACCCAAGTTAGAATGGCCAATATCAAAACTAATAATCACAGATACTGGTGGGGATATAGTCAAAAGGGAACGGTACTATACTGTTGATGGGAATATAAACTTGTTCAACCACTTTGGAATGCAGTATGGAGGGTCCTCAAAAAACTAAACCTAGAGCTTCCTATTACACAGCAATCTCATGCCTGGGCATTTACCCAAATAAGACCACATAAAAGCTACCAGCACAACTATGCTCATTACAGCATTATTTACCATAGCTAACATAAGGAATCAACCCAGATGCTCCCAGTAAATGACTGGAAAAAGAAAATGTGGTCTGTATACACAATGAAATTCCATCAGAAAGAATGACATTGCCCCATTTGTAAGGAAATAGGAAGATTCGGAAGAAAAAAATCATTAAGCGAAGCAAGCCAGACCTAAAGAAACACAGGTTATGTGGCTTCCCTCATTTGTAGTAATTAGAATGTGTCTATGATGTTCTTAGCAGAGGATCACAATGGCTCAATAGTTAGGTGTATATGACCACAGAAAATGAAGCTTATCAAAATGTATTTCAAGAAATGGAAACACAAGATTTTTATAATATGCTGTTAATTAAATTTATAGTTTGAATTTCATCAATAATGATGCTGCGATTTTTTTCTTAAATCCTTCTAGATATTAGCCTTGCTTATAGCTTTGATCCCACAAAGCTCAAAATATGAAATGTGTAGTTTCTTTTTTAATAAGTGTTTTACTGTGAAAATACCGTACAGAGGGGTTACAATTACATGAGCAAGAAATGTACATGAGTACATTTCTTATCAAGCATTGTTGCCTCCTCCTTTTTTTTCCACTGACATCCCTCCCTTCCCATTTCCACGACTATATCCCCCCCCCCCCACTAAAGTTGTAAGGTTCATTTTTCGACATAGCATCTTATACATTTCATTGTTGCAATGGATCCACCTGTATCCCTATTTAAACACTTTGTTTTTTCCCTTCCCCTCCCCAAATTATACCAACATCAAATACTGTGAAAGCAGGGGTTATACCGTGGGGGAGGGACATACAAAACAACAAAGAAATCACCTTACAAATACGTTAGAAACAATAGCAAGCAAGAAAAAACCACTTGTACTTTCTTAATCCCTGACCTATACAAAGGAAATTTTCCTTCTCTTTCATACTAGTTTTCTGGACTGTCTTCTTCCAGTTGTGTTAGAGAGTAGATCCTGAGAGTCTATTCTCAACCCTTTTCTTATCTCTCCACATATTGTCCTGTGTTCTAGTTCATGAATAAGATGGCCAGGATCACCTTTACTCATGAACAATTGGCTTTCCAATCACGAGCCTGCCAAGAAGAAGGTGTTGTGAAAGATCTTTGATGGGGCCTCCCATCCTCATTCACTGGTAAGCTAGACTTGTTTACAGACAAGGAGACTTCTCAGGTCTTGCAGGAAGGCCTGACCTATTCCTTTGTGCTTCCACAGCATGCTTATTTACACTGGTAGCCTCCCTTCACAGACTGTGCTCTTCTGTGCTCAATTCTGTCTTCCTACTTGTCATATGGGGCCTGGTACAGAGCAGTTGTACATGAAGCATTAGTTGAATGAATAGAGTAGACCTTTTGGAATTGTCCCATTCTAAGATCAATATCTTACCGAAGAGTCTACTTTCTTTAGACAGAAACTGCTTTGAAACATCATTTCATGGGGCTTTTAATGTGAGTTTACAAGTTTAGAATGTATTTAAGTTCTATTATTTTTGAACTAAAACATATTTTTTTTCTAAGTGGCCCTTTAATAATTGTTTACCTGACCTTTCCTTTGCTTCATTCTACGCTTAGACAGAATGGCTCTCCCTTAGCTTTCAATGGTTATTTTTGTTCTCTGAACTTCTACAGAGAAGTGTTCTTTCCCATTTTTCACCAATATAAGTGCTTCCTTTCAATACAGTATTTGAATTAATGTGTAGTTTTAATGGCTCATTTTAGGATCTCAAAGTATACTTCACTGTCACACTGCTTTTGGAGTATGCTTTGTATCTATTTAGAAAGTATTTTACTCTTGAAGAAAGTGTTTTGATCACAGATGCAAAGATTTTGAGATGATGAAATATTGAAAAAATCAGCTTGGAATCGTAAAACAAGCTATTAGTGAACTTGTATTGGTCACAGACATCTAATTTCTCTTCCTACTACTTGTGGGAAGGGAGCTTGGAGATTTGGGAATCAGACAAGACACAGGCAAGTTAGCCAACAAATCAAGATACCTTGATGGATTGTGGTGGTGACAGAGGTGGGATTCATCTCCTTAGTATGCTTCGTCTCTTTGGTAGGCCATACAAGGTCTACTTCCTTCATTTCAGAGATAGAAAAACAATCCTAGAGGACAAAGTGCTACATAGCTTCTCTTGTGGATTTAGGGCAATCTTGGGTTCAAATCAGTGTTTCCTCCTAACTTCCACTGCATTGCTGTGGAGCCTGGCTGAGGCTCACAGATTGCTGCAAGCCTGGGAGAGTTCACAGAGTCTTAGATTGACATTAGAATAGATGCTTTCATATTTCAGGTCAGGGTATTTTAGTATTAATATAAAAATCACCACAAAGGCTCAGATAATTGGTGGACTAAGTGGCTTCACATTTTCAGTTCTATTATGCCTTTGGTTTTATTAAACAGCACTTACTATATATCAATGAATATTTCATTGGTCTTTCATTACTGAGTGAATCATTGACAAATCACTGCAGTGGAATTAACTTTACCCAGCCTCCCTGAAATGCTTGGCGCTTGCCATCTCATTAACACATATTTTTATGGCCATAATTTGGCTTAAAGATCAAATAGTGAGAGAATGTGGAGCCACATTATTTTAAACTTTTCTGTCTTCCCCTCATCTGAAACCTGGCTAGAATTCTAAGTGTGCAAGAATAAATATAGTCTTGGAATTGACCTTCATTATTAAATTGTCAATGCAAAATATTTGGGGCTTATTCAGTTATTTTCATGAAAAAGAAATTGTTTGAAAGATACTTACTTTCCATTGCCTACCCATGGAGACTGTATCTGAGCAACTTTTGAAGCATTTTGCTGAAAGAAAAAGAAAAAGGGAAATAAGGACATCTATTTTGTGTTTTTATTAATTCAGAAACAGATGGAAGTGTGATTTCGAGTACATTAATATTGATTGCAGCATTTTGGGATGTAGAGCTGAGATGTATATGCACGTCAGCACACCACGACACACACTCGATGAAAATAGCTGGTTAGGATAATTAGTGGGCTCCAATCAGGACCATGAAAGTCACTTGATGAAAGATCTTATATACTAAAAGGCCCAGTGAAATCAGACTCGGTTTTCCAAGAAGTGGTTTAATTATCCTCATCTAAAATTTATTCTGCAAAACAAGCTCTTCAAAGTATAAGTAAGCTTTTCACCTTTAACTCCAGTTGCAAACTTTCTTTCTGGGCTACAAGTTAAGCTGTGATTTCTCATATCCTAGCAATGTGTCAGAACGGAACCATACTTTTTGTTCATGTGTTTGTTTTCAGTAATCATCTTGATTTGCTACCTTAGTGTGCAGATTTTTATGACTGACAATTTTCCCTGTGTAGCATTGCAACAGATCCAGAAGTCCATTGCATTGGAACATGGGATGGTAAACATTTTTCTCTTCCTCTGATAGAACTGGGTTGGTTTAAAAAGATTGTCTTCTCGTAATTGTATAGCCATACACTGACATTTAGACAAGACAGGGAATGGGCTGATTGCCACAGCCTCATGATAGACAAGATAGGGATTAGTTTTATTGCAACAGCCTCATGATGCAGGAGGTCAAGCGGTACAGATGGCCAGGATACCCATGGCACTGGGCTAGTTAGGCCTGCTTATGGCATTCATGGCCAGCTGATGCACTCCAACTGTCTCTTAGCCTCTAGGTGACTAGTTGAGCCCCATTTTCCCAAGAAGTATTAAAGAGACTCAGCATTTTTAGGAGTCAAGTATGAATGCAATACTTCTCTGGAATAACATGCATTCTACAGTCTCTCATTTGAATCTTAAAGAATCTCAACACACAGGTCTTTTGTCATGCCTGAAAGTTACACAGGACATGCTATCAGGCACAGAAGCTAGCTCTATGGCTACCATATTGGGAATGTAAGAGAAGCAGCAGTATCACATGGGAACATTCTAGCAGTACACATTCTTCTCAGGTCCTGCTCGGGTAATCACATTCTTCCACATGGAGCCCGGTACTTCGGTTACAAAAGTCCTCTTGGGCATTGTATTGCCCAGTGAAGATTATCAAACACCTCCTTGCTACAGCACAAATAAAGAGCAGAAAGATGAAGGGATGGGAAGCTGTTGTAGGTGACTCCTTTTACGCACGTGATCAGTAGCTATATGGCATTATGCCTATATCACACAGTAGCTGGGAATGTGGGTCATCTGTCCAATTGAGTCACAGTGCTGTCACAAGAGTTGCGCACTGCTACACTTTGAATATTTCATAAAAGGCCAGGCTTTACTTCATTCCAAACAACTGCATTGGTCCAAGTTAGCCAAGAGGTCTTATGTACTTGGCAACAGGCATCATTTTCTTTTGAGATATGGCCAAAAAACGGGAGAAGTGAACCTCCCAACTCTAAATGATGGCTCGTGTTGGAAGAAAAAAGCAGTGTTGGAAGGTGCTGTGGATAAGCTTAGCACCAAACTACTGCTTGCCATTTTGATCTGAGTCCACTCTCAATTTATATATATATATATATATATATAAATTTGTAAACTAAAATACTAGCTCCTGGAAGATGGCTTTATATGTCTGTCCATTTATTTTGGTGAACAAGACAATCAACTGTCTGAAATCACAAAACACTACACGGTAAGATTGTTCATGGAGAAAAGTCTTTTAGGGGTGTAGCTGTCCATCTCCAGCCAGGATGGCCACAGCAACTCCCCTCAATGCTGAAGAATTCCTGGGCTGTCCTCTTCTTTAGGAAGATGGGGTATACCCACAGCCACTACTTCTGCCCACTTTGAAGGGAGGAGCACAGAACATCGCCTGCCTACAACCAAGAGGTTACTGAGTGCCATATGGTCAATCCATGAAATCGTCAAAGGATTGCTGAGCCCCAGAACAGAGATGCAATGACCTTAGCAGCAACGACCACGTGCTAATCATCTGACATTTAATAATATTCCTGACGTATTAATTAGGGATTTTTAAAATTACTTTGTGCCTACAAATCATACCAAAGAAGGATTACCTTAAAATACTCCATCAGTGATCTGGAGTACTTCATAGCATGGTCCTTCTTCAGTTTAAACATCCTTAAGTAGAGAAGTGATAAACATCGGTAGCTGTGGGAGATGAAGAAAGGATCATGTGAATGCCAGGATCTAAAGAAACGTAGAAACTAGAAAGAGTAAGTCATATTTCACAATAACTCACCTATGGTTAGATTAAGAAACCCAAGTAAATAAAGAAAACATTTTTAAAGTAAGGGTGAATTGTTCAACTCCTATTTTGATAAATAAATGAGAAGACTAAATTTGAATGAGCAACTGAAAAAGCCCATTAGTTATCCCATAAAAGGTCAGTTGAAAACCAGAATTGTGGTCTTCTATAAGCAACTAAAGCTGATGGGGAATTTCCACATCCTCCCATGGCATTTCAACCAGGACTTACCATAACACTGCTAGCTTTTTGTCCCCATCAGAAGCCAAGGGGCTTGCAAAGTTCTTCAGCCTCATTGCATACCTTTAAAGATAAAAGAAAATCTCACATGGAATCTGGATTACCCTTCTGCAATTCTGATGTCCCGAGTTGGTTATTCCCACTTTTACTTCAAGGCAGAAGGTTTTACTGGTAGTTTTCCTGAAACCTATGCAAATGGATAGTGTATACCACACAATAGCATGGATGTAATGGAATGCTGGAGAAGCCAGCTGCATTACCAGCCTGTATCCTACAACAAGATACTGAAATGTCTGTGTGAATAAATGCCAGCAAATACTCTTTCAGGAACATTGAAGCTAAGGAACATTATTGGCTTTCAATGAGAGGTGGAAACAATGCCAGCCTTGGTTCAGTTTATGACAGGTGAAGTAACTAATAAAAATCATGAAATAGTCTGTCTGGCATGGGCATCAGAGATCTCATCCACAGGTCTTTCCTAATGGCTTGTATTTTGAATATCCTCTTGTGGAAAGAGGTGTGCTTTTTTCTTTAAAGGAAGGTCGATTTCACAGCATTTTAAAGTCTAAGCACCCTACGTTTATGGTGCTTGTATATTTTGTCCTTCCATTCTTTTTAATTGTTACTCTTCCACATTACGGTGATAAAAGGTTGAGTAGTTTCTTTTCTTCCCATTTTAGCCTAGTACATTCCATTCTGGGCATTTAGACTCTTGAAAATTAATTCATTGCATAAAATCATTGTGTGAGCTGTAATGCAATTTCAGAGGTACTCGTGGGAGAATAAGTAATAGAGTTCAGTGTGGCAGAAGAAGCTTTGAATTGTGCAATCAGGCAGTCTAGGCTAGATTTCATTTACAAGAAGGCAACTGAAGGCTTGTAGTGCATTGGGCTTGCCTGTCCAATGCCTAATTTTCTTATTTCTTATTCAGTTGTTTTTGGGGAGCATTACTGGGGTTAGAACTCAGGGCCTTTGCCTTGCTAGGCAATGCATTCTAACCCTAGTAGGCTAGGCAATGCCACTTCAGTCAAGACCCCGGGCCATTTTGCTTTGGGCTATTCAGTTTCTCAGGTCCTCACACTTGTTAGGCTAGTATGAATCACCACTCCACACGTTGTTTCTTCACTATCTATTTTAGGATAGAGTCTCACTTCCTGATTGGGTACACTGCACTACTTCAACATATTATTGCACTACTAAATCAACATTCATGTATTAGTCACCTTCTAATTGCAAGTACATCTGAAATGACTTGACAGTGGAGTTAGAATTGTATAAGTGGTTCACAAGGCCTAGTGAGCTTTTACTTATTTAACTTCCATCAGAAGGTTCCCTTATTATATATATATATATATATATATATCCCTCATTATATATATATATATAACATATACATATATATAACTAAGAGAATATATAAAAGATAAAAATTCACAACTAATTTCATATACAACTGAACTAAGTAAATTGCAAATAAAAATACATGTTGAATTCTGATGTGCATATATTTTTTCCAGTGGACAATGGAACTGTCTGCACCTGTGCCTATAACTGCACATGAATATACAATTACCTCAAAATAAACATTGAAAATATTGATTCTAAATGAATAACAACAATTTATCTATTGATTTCTATCAGGTTCTATGGAACTACCCTTCCATGATAATACAATGAGAAAAAAATCATGTTTAAGGTAACAGAAATATTTGGAAATAATTAAGAAAAATAAATCTTTCCTAATGGAGATAAGTACTACTTAATGAGTCATGTCACATTGGGACTATGAAATAGAAATTGCTATTTTGTTTTTTAATATTTTAAAGATATCATATCTTTCCATTAAAATAACTTAATGAGAAAGAAAACATATGGAAACAGGGAAAACACCCATAAGGTCACCTCTATACATTTATGATCTCACTGCCCTTCTGCTTTGAACCAGATGCACACATTTTTTTCAAAGCTGTTATTGTAGTGTGCATATAACTCTATAGCTTAATTTTACTTTATTCTGCAGTACTTTGGATCAAATCCAGGGCCTCCCACCACATGCTAGTCAAGCACCGATCATTGAACTACACTCCAAGCTTTGATTTTACTTCGCCATTATTTTATAAACATTTTTATGTGGCTCCTTAATATTGATCACTATTGTATTTCAATGGTCTCAAAAACATGGTGGAATATTCTAGGATGTGATTAATTATTCCTCTATTATTGATTTATTTGATTTGCTTTTCTTTGTGTATTATAGGATATGTAACAGCAGATTGAACAACATACAGATAACATGGTTTACTCTTCTAGTTACTTCCTTCAGTAAAGGAAAATGAAATTTCTAGAAGCTGAGTACTGTGTTAAATATTATAAATGCTTGCTTGTCTGGCTTTTCTCATACAATTCTAAATTGCCCTCAATTTCCAATGATAAATTTTAGTTCCCATCAGCAGTATAAGAGGACTCTAGTTCAACACTATTTTACTTTTCCTTTTCATGCTGCTGTTAACTACTAACATTGCTAAAATTTTCTTTTTAATTTAACCTATGCCATGTTTTAATTTGCATTTTTGAATGACGAGAGAACATGAATCTTCTACATGTTTGTTTACTGTTTTCCTCAATTTTTAATCATTATAATTTCTGACAGAATGTTCATCTTGTGCAACTTTGAAAATTACAGGTATCTTTGACTATGCTAAGAAATCGATTTCCCCTTGAAAGCTACCAAGTGATAGTAGAGGTGTCAGATTTCACATTGCAGGAAGTGGGCTCCCTTAAAGGATACAGGCACTTCTTGAGCGCCCCTATCTAGGAGAGGCTCCAAGAGAAAAAATGACTAGTTGATTAGTCAGGCAATGATGCAGCTTTCCTTGTAATCATCCTGAATTTATCCCTCTAAATAAACTTTGGTACTATAGTTTGAAACCAGGGCCTGTACTCTCTTCAGCTTTTTTCATTCATGGCTGGTGCTCTAGTATTTGAACCATGCCTTCAATACAACTTTTTGCTAGTTACTTGCCTAGGCTGAGTTCATACCATGTTTTTGCAGGTTTCTGCCTCCTGAGTAGCTAGGAATACAGGCATGCACCATTGGTGCTGGGCATAAACTTCTGATTCCACTTGAGTGGAGTTGATTTTCATAATAGTTATACTTTGTACCTTTGGAAACACTTTCCTAGGAAAATATATATAATAAATCTGTCCACTGTCTGTCCAATTGACTCGATACAAAGACCTCAGATTTATTCATTTATGCAGGTACAAGCATGAGAGTAAAAAGAACCTATCAACTTGGTGTTGACAGCCCACATTTGTAGCTAGTCAGTAGGCTGAGATACAGAATCATGATATGAAGCTAGCCTATGAGACTCTTATCTCCAATTAACAAGCAAATAGCTGGAAGCAGAGGTATAGCTCCAGTAGTAGAGTGCCAGCTTTAAGCAAAAAAGTCAAGGGATAATTTAAGGCCCTGAGTTCAAGTCCTAGTAACAGCACACACATAAAAGGACCCATAAGGTAAAGAAGTGTCCACATTGTCAAAGTGATTTTGTGAGTATGTGTGTGCACATGTGCTGATTCTGGGGCTTGAACTCAGGCACTGTCCCTGAGATTTTTTTGCTCAAGGCTAGCAATGTACCAACTGAATTCATGTCTATTTCTGATTTTTGGTGATTAATTGGGGATAAGAGTCTCACAATACTCAGAATCCAAAATCAAATACAGTGCAAATAAGGGATAAACCATAGGGTGAAGAACACACAAAGGACACAAGAAAGCACTTAGTACATTAAAAACAACAACAGGGAAGAAAAAGCTCTCAATGTCCATGTCTTGGAGTTCATTTCACTTAGCATCATCTTATATACTCATATGTACATAGCTATTGAGCTATTCTGCTCATCTTCTAAAATTATCCTAGATATATATCTGAATTAGGGAAGGGAAGGGAACAACAAAATGGTGAGAAAAAGGACAAGGAAAGAACCTATGCAATAGTGATACTCATAAGACACTATGTTGGAAATGATCTGTACAACTTGGGGGGAGGGGATGGGAGAGGGAAAGTAGGAGAATGTTGAAGTAAGGGGTAACAAGTTCGACAAGAAATGAACTTATTACCTTACTTACCTAACTGTAACCCCTGTGTACATCACTTTTGACAAACAGTCACACATACTTTCTAGTCTGAACTGACATTCCTCCTGAATAGCTACTATTACAAGTATAAGCCAGTGGATCTTAAGAGAAGTGATTACTTTCAAAGATGTAGATAAAGTTAAATGGTAGAGTTATTGACTTGCAGCAAGCAGAATACACTGGATCCATCCTCAGCACCAAAATAACTAACTGGAGAAATAAATCTGATTAGTCCATCCACTGAAGGGCAATGCTTAGCTTCTATTTCAGAATACATTAAATCCTTCTATTAATATTTCCAAATGTTGAAAATCAAAAGTATATTTCTTCCTTTCCACCTCTTGCTGTTCTTCTAGGGCTTTTGTTTTGTTAATTTTCTATAAATTGTATTCCACAAAGACCACTAGGTGAGAACATTTCATTTAAAATGTCATTGTTTCAAAGCAGTAATATATACAGCTAACAGACTCTTCTGCTATTATCTTCTCATTTCTACCCACACCCTGGCAACCACTCTGATTTTCTTTTTTCCAGATACTTGGAATCTTGAGACACACCTGCAGACTTAGACATCAACTCTATGTTGGAACAATGCTCCCCCACTTATTAATAACCAACATAGAAAGTCAGAGAAAATATGGCTTGCAATAGAAATCCTGAGAGTACCACTTTATTTTTGAATTACAAACCAACCTTTGAAAAGACAAGGCAATGCCAAATGGCAAAAGGATTGTATTTGACTTGAACCTGCTCCATTTCCATTTTAATTTTATGAATATTACAATTTATAAGTCTCACATTATAACCTCTGTAGGGGCTAATTTATCAAACAATGTCAATCAATTATAAATTTTCCATGGCCTTAATAGAATGGCAAGAACTAATTATGATGACTTCTAAGAAGATGCCTTGGACACCTCATTAATATGCAGCTTCTGATTCTGAGTGAAATGAGCTTAGGGAGATGAAGTAGAAAGGTCATTTACCTGAGGAGCTCCACTGTCTCGGAATACATAGTATACGGGGACTTGGCTTCCAGAGGGTCACGTTCCATGGCATTGCCGCATTCGGTGAAGGACAGAGCGGCATCAGCATAATTCACAGCTTTGCCAAATTTCTCAAACTGAAACAGGAAGACAACTTGTCAAACGATTCTCTCATTTATCCTTTCTTTTTTCTTTTTTTTTTTTTAAGGCAGTCCTGGAGCTTGAACTCTGGGCCTGGGCACTGTCCCTCAGCTCTTCAGATCAAGGCTAGGGGCCCTACCACTTGAGACAGAGCAGCGCCACTTCTGGCTTTTTCTGCTTATGTGGTGCTGAGGAATCGAACCCAGGGCCTCAGGCATGCAAGGCAAGCACTCTACCATTGAGCCACCTTCCCAGCCCCTCATTTATCCTTTATATAAAGGAATAGCTCACTATGGAAAGGAACATTGTCCTTTACCCCTTTGCTTCACACCCCCCCCAAGGGAAAAAAAAAAAAAACAAAACATTTGGCAATGCCTGGAGATATTTTGGAATGTCATGTCAGGGGAAAGAGAACATCTAGCAGGCAGAGATGCTGCTAAACAAACTGCAATGCACAAAACAGCCTCTGTAATGGAGCATTCGCTGTCGCTCATGCCCTGCTTCAGAAGGCTTGTGTGAGAGATGATGGATATACTGGTATCTATGATGAAAGAGCTAGCTTATGGTCCTATTGTCATGATACTGAAGCTGGCTGAAAAGAGAAAAATATAATCCTTACATTCTATGGGTGGTGTGGCATTATTGTTGTTATCTGTTGGGTGAATGACAAACCAAATCAATGCTTTGAGTAGTTGCTAATCACTAAATTCATTCAACAGACTGGTCTTGGATGTGTCCATTATGCAGCGCTTGCAAGTAAGCTGTGCTTCTGTTAACATTCATGGACAACAAACACATCCAACTCTTCCTTTAGAACTGTTCACAGGCACATCAAGCCCAGTCCCAGGAGGAGTGTTACAGATTGATACTACTGTCATAAAAAATGTGAGGCTGGAGTCTGACTGTTGACAGCAACCACATCATTTTCATCATAAATGATAGGCTGAAATCAGGTGTCAAAGAGACTAAAAATATAGCACTACTAAATAGTTTAGTAAAATTTTATTGCAAAAGATTTTAGCCTTGATAATGGTCATGATTAAACTGACTTAGACATATTGATTTCTTTTTTATGTGTAATGAATATTATATATAACAATTTTATAGTATTTTATAAGAGAATTTAACATTTTCAATTTTTGATAGCTGGATGTAAGAAATCCACTAATATAGTATTTTATGGAAAAGAACAAATGGATTACAGATTTGGCTATTTTAATTTTCTTGTATATGTTTTATCAAAATATTTTGTATGCAACTGTGAAAATTTTCATTTTCAAGATGTCAGAGTAACTGTCTCTGGAAAATGAGTAGGTACAACTATAAAGTGATTAGTTATGGGTCCCACAGACTCTCTTATTGCAGATGACTTTTACAATAAATGTTCTTCAGCTTTTATGTGCTGAAGGAATTCTGTAGTTCTTTTCTGTATGCTACTGTAAAGAAATAACAGTCTCAAGAAAATTCAAAATGATTTTATGAAAATCTATGTCTGTGCATGCAAATAAATTCCTCTTGTCTTCCAAAGTAATCTTTACATCTTGATTTTTGAAAAGTGAGATGTCCTTTACAGTTCCATAGCTGGAAATATCCTTAAAGGTCATGTAGTCTCCACCCCTCCTTATCTACAAGGAGGAGAAATTGAAGTCCACAGAGAAAATTCATAGTTACAGTGTCAATTAGTGGCTAAATCATACCTATTTCTGAGTCTCAACTTCCCAATCCACATCTTGAGGGGGTGTGGATGGCAAAGATGTTTCCATAGATATTGTTGGATCCCAGCTATTATAATTGTATTATATTATAATGAGCTGCAATGCTTTCAAGGGCCACAGTATGTGAATAATGAATATATTTGGAGTTCTAAATTTTCATTACAGGTACAAGGACAATACCTTTTAAAAGCTCTGTTTTGTATGGTACTGGATATTAATGAACCTGGAGCGTTGCACCTGCTAGGCAAGCATTTTGCCACTGTACTAGAGTTGGGGAGGAGGGGAGTGGTAATAAATGAGGGAGGGGGTAAAACTCTTCAAAAAGACATGTACTCTTTGCCATACTTACATAAATGTAACCCCTCTGTATCTCACCTTTACAATAAAATTTAAATAAAAAAACACTCTGGGGTTTGGTTATAATGAAAGAAAAAGGTTGAGATACTCTCAAAGGAAGGCTATTTTCCACCTTATCTCAAGGATCAATTTTTGCCCTCTTGGAGGCAGTCCTCCCAATGAAGAGCAAGGTTAACTCTTACTCATATGTGTACATGTCTGTGGCTTTGAGTTTTCTCAATTCTTCAAATATTTTACCTACGTGGTCTCATACATGCTTCACAATCTTCACCAGCGACTGTCACAACTTGTCAAAGGAACATCTATGTATTCCTTACCCTGACTTTGACAAGAGGGCTAGCTTCAGAGCACTGAGTTGAAGACATTTTGGGAGACTCTATACTTTTCTAATCAGGTGCTTCTACCCAGTGTCTTTCTAATATCTCTCCACCTATCTGATGTCACAAGCACTATCTGCTTGGAGATTCCAGTGGAGTTGGTCTGTCTGCAGTCTTGCTTTTTTATTTTGTCAGTACTAGGGTTTGAACTCAGGGTATTGCATTTGCTTAAGTTTCTTTCTCAGCTGGTGTTCAATACTTGAACCATGCCTTTAGTCCTATTTTTTGATGGCTAGGTGAAAGATGGAGTCTCATGAACTTCTGTCTGGGGCTGGCTTTGAACTACAGTCTTGTGGATCTCAGCTTCCTGAGTAGCTAGGATCACAGACATGAGCCACTAGGCCTAGGTCTGCCTTGTTATCTCTGTCTGTAGGAGTGGTGTATATGTGTATGTAATCATTTCCAGGGAACAATTCATACAACAAAAAGATTGGTTACTTGAAATGCCTAAGCAATATCAACCACTGTAAAAACTGACAGGAGGTAAAAGAAGTAGCAGATGCAAGGGCTGTGAATGGTTGGTGGATGTAGGTCACATGATATTTATAATGCAGAATGTGGAGCTATTCTACCACAGGTTCCCCAATCAGTGCCAGGCACAGCTAAGGCCTGGGCAGACCTGGTACAGAGATGGAGGATAGTATTTTTTTTCTCACAATGAGGTTGAACTGGTATTTCCAATTGTTCTGGGATATACTTAATCATGAGGAGAATTACATTAGGATCTTCTCCATGACAGTGTTCTCAAATGGCCATATTTGGGGATTTCTTGTAGTAACCATGCAACAGGGGCTCAGTCCCAGAAATTCTGATTCATTGGTGTAGTGTGTAGTCTTAACTTAACCAAGTAATTGTAAAATTGTTAAGACTCATTATTAGGAAGATCAATTAAGCCAAACAAGTCAACATGCAGAGATCATCTCTGCTGTAGGTGACCAAGATCTTTGGGGAGAAGCTGGATAAAATATGACAGGAGACCCAGATGACAGTATTTCCTTTCTCTGCTCTAGATCACAGTCTGATTGTGGTTATCACTTGGGGAACATGTAATCAAATTCAAGAAGGCGAGCTTTTTCTATAGACCCAAGTTTCCCGAGGTCAATTAGATAGCTTTTAATAATTTCTCCTGCACTAGTGTTGTATTGCTGGACCCAAGAGCTCCAATCCTTTCTAGGGTAGCTTCAAAAGTCATTTCAAATTCTCTTAAAAGATAATGACAATGGAATGTGTGACTGAGACTTTGAAGTTGGGGCAAAGGGAGAAACAGTTGGAAGAGAACAATGACAAGAGAACTGAGCTTGAAGTACTCTGGGAATTTTGGTTCTAAGGAATTACCTAGCTCTAATGTCCCTATGTCAGAGCAGCAATACATTGCAAAGAAGGTTTGTGATGTAGTACTAAAAGTTTGACTCGTTTTCAAAGTGCCTTCTTTGTATTGTTACAAAGCCTTATAACTTACTGGGAGCAAAGCAATAAGAGGAAGAAAACCTACCAGTGCATCAGCCTTATGCTTCAGCTTCTTAGCTTCTTGCATGTAATAGTCAGCATTGTGAACCCTAAACAAACAAAACAAGCTCATTTTGAAAACCAATGTTTTGTCTTTTCATGAAGAAACTGAGTAGTTACATACATTTTTACTATAAACTCATTCCTGCATAAAGCCTTAGAAAAGGCAGCGTAGTGCTGTCATTCATACCATACACAAACTGGAAATAATACTACAAATTAAATCTGAAGTATATAATGGCCTATTGGGATACATAAACACATCCCCTAAACTCAGTCATTATAATTTCCCAAAGAGATCACATAAAACCTAGCTATCAATATATGTCTGTCTGAGGACATGAAGAAGAAAAGATAAAAAATAATAATCTAGGAGTAAGCACCCATCTTTGGAAGTAATAACAAACCCCAGAATGAAAACAGGCAAAGATATTTGTTGGAGACAGAAATGCATGTAGAGGAGGATATACTTTGAAAGTTATATAGCTGATGGTAGGGTTGTATGTGAGGAGACACGTACATGCATAGAGCTGGCAAAGCCACTTTGCCCCACCCCAAGTCATCATTCCCAATCTGTGTCTATAATAAGGTAAGGACAACATACGAGTCATCAAAAGTGAGCTTGGGTCTCCGGACATTAGTACTGCTGCTGGATAGGAGGGGCAGGGCTGCCCAGGACGTCATCTCCAGGTGACTGCTATCCATAAGGCCAGTAGTGATAGTAGAGGTGATGGTGGAAATAGTGGTGGTGGTAGTTGTGGTGGTGGATGTGGCAGTGGCGGTAGCAGTAGCAGTGACAGTGGCAGTGACAATGGCAGTAGCAGTAACAGTGGCAATAGCAGTATTGGTGACAGTAACGGTGGCAGAGGCAGCCTTTTTTGGAGTGTCTATCTCCTGGGGAAAAAGAGGGACAAGAAGCTTCTATTAGGTCCAGTTGTTTAGAACATCTCTTCCAAAAACACTTTGAATGTCAAGTATAGTACCAAGCAAGACAAGAAAATTATTTATTTATTTAATTAATTTTCTTTTTGGTTGGTCGTCAGGCTTGAACTCTGGGCTTGGGCGATGGTCCCTCAGCTCTTCAACTCAAGGCAAGCGCTCTACCACTCGAGCCATAGAGTCAGGTCTGGTTTTCTGAGTGGTTTATTAGAGATAAGAGTCTCATGGACTTTCCTGCCTGGGCTGGCTTTGAACCTCGATCCTCAGATTCCAGCCTCCTGAGTAGCTAGGATTACAGGCAGTAGTCACTGAAGCCTGGCTAAGAAAAGAAATTTAAAACAAAATAATACACAGCACTAGAGGCTGAATGCAGTAAATGAGCAGCTTTTGTTCTATGATAACATGAAACACCAAATCAGTCAGGTGCCAGGATTACATTGACCTATTGTTACATTTAGACAACAATAATGTCAAAGGTATTAATCTAGAAGAAAATGTCAGTGGACAGAGAAAAAGAATATAAAGAAGAGGAGAGAAGGAGGAAGAGGATGAGGAGATAAATAGTAGTAGTAGACAGAAACATAGATGATAGGTAGGTAGGTAGGTAGATAGGTAGATAGATAGATAGATAGAGATAGATAGATAGATAAAACAGATAGATGGATCGATAGACAGAGACACTTTATAATTCTATTGTACATATTTTTGTAAGAGAACAAGGCTAGAAACTTTCTCTAGGATAAAGCAAGTTCCCAAAGCACTCAAATGTGGGCCATGAAAATACCAGAACACCAGGTATCAGTACCCTAGTGGACAGGCGGCTGAAACAACCCTTTTGTTCCTATGAACCCCTTGATTGATTTCTGGAAAACTGAATGATACATAACTGTGTCTCCTTTTGAAGACTTGGGATGTTAAAACCTCAATTTCCCCAGGAAAGTTGAAGTTGATAACAAACTCATGAGGACTTCACTTTGAACTGTCATTGCCACAGAGAGAGTGGGATCCATGAGAGGTAGGTAATAAGATATGCAATTTATGTGGCAATATCTTGTTACAGATCACATGACATGCTCCCATGACAGACTCTGCCTTCCTCAACTGGCAACTGTGCAACAACCTGACAATATTTCCCATGGTGCCTTTTTTTTCTGCTCTTCTAAGTTGCTATCTCCCTAAGACTGGTATGCTCCAATGTTCATTCCTCAGATTTCTTCTTTCCTGTGTTTGTCAATCCTGTATATACTGCCATAGATTCAACAACAGGCAAAAAAGTCACATATAGAATTTTGACATTTGCATTCTCCATGAACCTTTGAACCCGCAGCAAGCACTTCTGAATCATTCTACCAAGATGTCCATATTTTTCTAGAACAAACTTGAGAGTTAAAACAGTACCATTTTTCTGTTGATTGTCACTCCTGTCACCCCTGTCAGCAAGCCTGGTTTCCTCTATGTGACTAACGAGTTACCAATTATGTTTGGCATGATGCCACAGAGAACTACTATTGATCCCAGACTAGGGCATGCTTGGTAAGTAAGGACTTTCTACCCTATCTTCTGTCTGGACTACCTACCAGCCTGAGCTTCCTAAACAAAGCTGTGTGTCACTCTAATTAAGGAATCAGTGTATATTCAAGTGTATACTCAAGGCTGAGCACCTGTACTACCCTCTCTAACATGGTTTTAGCTTCTTACATAAACTCTAACTTCTCCCTTCCACAGATCTTGATTTCAACGAAAATGACTATCCTCCTGCTTTCTTCACTTTCTTGATTTGGTTCATGAAGACTCTTAGATCCAAAAGCCTTGCCTTCATTTCTTTGTATTTTGTATTACTGCATTGTAATAATTTGCTCCATTATTTTTATTTATAAAGTATTAAAATTGTGGTAAATAAACAATATCACAAAATTTTCCATGTCAGTCAGTTGTAACTGCACAGTAAAGAAGTTTTAAGCACATTGTTATTGTTGTCCTACCAATCCCCCAAAGTCTTTTGCAACTTGCAAAAGTGTGTATGCATTAAAGAACAGCTCTCCTTTCCCCACTTAGCCCTAAACAACCTGTCGACTTCCTGTCTTTATAAATGTGAGAACTCTTGGGATCTTAGCGAGTTTTAATACCAATATTTGTCTTTTGATGTCTGGCTTATTTTACTGTGCATGTTGTAGTGTAGCTGATGTTAGGATTTCCTTGCGTTTTAAGATTGTATAATGTTCCATCATGTGAATTAACCACATTGTGTTTATCCACTTCCCTTCATATCTATTAAGGCTTAGCTTAACAAATGATGATTCCAATAAAAACATCTGCTTTCCTACATATTAAAATGTTCTTTAATTCTCCTTGTGCTATTCACAGACCTATCTCTATTCCTTTCCTAAGACACCTTATACTCTAGTACTTTGAGCACCTCAGGTTGGTAACTGTCTCTGAATTAGGGCTTGCCCCTCCACCCATTGTCCACTGCTCTTAGCATATACTAGATGCCTTTGGACTCACAGACACACAGGCACAGACACAGACACAGACATAGACACACAGACACAGACACACACACACACACACACACACATACACACACACATACATATGAACACTTGCCTTAGTCAAAGAATCACTTTAAAGGAATACTTCTCTATTTTTATAGTATTGGAGATTGAACTCCAAGCTTCAAGTTGGGTATGCAAGTACTCTAGTATGTGAGCCATGTCCCAAGCTTTATTGCATTTGGTTTGTTTTTCAGATAGGGTATTATACAAAGTTTTTCTGGGCTGGCCTCAACCCACAAGGCAACTCTTACTTCTGTTCTCCAAATAGTTGAGATAACAGATGTGTATGACCATGCCTGCCTGTCCTGACAGAGAATTGGTATTTTTCCACTTGATCTTCAACTTTATGAAAATAATTCTTACTGCCTAGATCATACTAAGATAATTGTGCAAAGAGGGCTTACATGCACAGATTATTGTAATGAATATGGAGAAAACAGTTTAAAGATCATCATAGATTTTATTCAATCTAAACATGTAGGGTAATGAGAACCATAAAAAAACTCACGCAGGCTCCTTGTGTCTACTCTCAGAGACACAGTGGGCTAACCCTACTATTTAGTATAAGCCCTAACTCAGTGCGACGTCTATTTATAACCAGGATATGTGATAGGAACCTTGAAATACCACATTGTTCATAGACATTATATTGAGGTTGGCTTTGAAAGATCTGTTTGTAAATGCCTACATATAGTCTAGAAAATTATAAAAACTGCCTTCATTTTACACACACACACACACACACACACACACACACACACACACACACACACACACAAAAGTTAATGAGCAAGCGTAGTCATATTTATCACATTTCCCCAGTTAACTTTTAGCTCTTGTGTAATTGACTACAAATTCTTGTCAGCAGTATTATTGTCATAATAACAACCTGTATTATTTAAGGACATTTAATTATCTGTAGTAAAATACTAGTCATTATTATTTATAATATGTAACTCTTTGTGACAATATGATAGGCACTATTCAAAAAGAATTTCTGACCTGCATTACATACCCCCAAAAAACTGGTAGCAGAAGTGCGCATCAATTAGGGCTCATAATATTAATTATATTCACTATTAAAAATAAGATATGCAGTGCAATTACTGTTTAGAATAAGAAGGTTCATAATTTCCAACATTATGGAGTCAACATCTCTAAATGTGTGTGAAAATATGGAAAATTATAGCTCTGTACTAGCTTTTTATATTGGTAATGAAATTTACCTCAATGTGTATGTCATCTCAGATGATGGAGGACTATGTATACTGGTGTTTTAAAATACATACAAAGACTTTCATAAATGGTTAAATGAGCACTTTTGATTTAGAAACTAAAATATTAATACCAGAACTGTGAAAACTTACTGATATTTACTCTTATTACATTTAAAGAAGTCTAAGTGTACATGCAGAAACACACACATGCACACATCTACACACCTACATTTACATTGAAAGATGACATACACAAGTATATAGACACATACCTTTATAATGGAAAATACATATATTCTTCACTGACATTATTACTTATCGTTTCAACAGTTCATGTACATAGATACCTCAGAGGAGTTAAAAGTCATTGCATGTGGGGTGTGAAAAATAACAACTTTCAGTGATCTATGCGAACTAACTACTAGTGTACAAAGTCCAAAGGACTATGTAGTCTTTTAGGTGAGGTTGGAATCATTGCTGTGTGTTTTGAGAAACGGATTTCACTGTTTAAATTCTATTCTGTTTAGTAACTACGTTTAAAAACACAATTCAGTTTGGCAAAGGTAAATTGTAGAACACCAAAACTTGGAGTTCTTACTCAAGTTCAATGACGTTGAGAAATCCCATTCCACCTATTTCCAGTCACTAAATGACTGGTCCCTACTACAGCCCAGAGGCTAAACTCTATTATGGAAGTGTCTTTTCCACTCCTAAGGTATGAAGATATTATACCAAACACATCCAAGAAAAATATAAAAAATAATATGGAATAAAATATTTAAACTTAATTGGAATAATTAAAATTTGAAGTGCATATGTTTACACACACACACACACACACACACACATGCACACACTTTTTTCCCCCTTTTGCCGTTTTCTCCCTGACCCTTTCCACATTTCCTATGATAAAGGTAGAGAAGCTGAGTTAATTTAATTCTTTCTGAAAGTTATTTTTTTTATGTGGTTGCTAGAGTTTGGACCTCTTACTTGCTAGGCAAGTGCTTGAACCATGCCGCCAGCTCCGCTACTTGACGATTATAATATGTGCTCCAAACACTTACATTTACAGATATTCCTTTGAAAGTAGCACAGAATTTGCCTTCATTTCGCTTAGGTTTTGTAGAGGTGATCTGTCCAGTCATGGAGATGTTTTTGTCTAGACTGAAGAGACCATTATTGCCACTGACATTTCTCCGACGTGGAGGGTCCTCTGGCAGTGGGGAAAGTGGAGGAGGGAAAAGCTTTTCTTCTTTTCTTCTATTTGCTCTTCTAGAATTATTTCTGTGGAAACAAAATGTGCAGGGTGTTGTGAAGTCTCTTTATTCAGTTTGTGTGCTAGTCCCAGGGCTTGAACTCAGGGCCTAGGCTTGTTCCTGAGCATTTGTTTTTTTGCTCAAAGCTAGCACTCTACCACTTGAGCTCTACTTCCTTATCTTGCTTTATTTTGATTTTTTTCTCATGAGGCTAGTATTTTCAGCTGAAGTGATTTGTTAAATTGATTATCCTTTACCTATGAGAGGTATATAAATATTCATTGATAGTTAGATAGATGCATATACCTGTATCCAAGAATAAACACATGTCTTGGAAGCAGAATTCTATGACAAATGGGAATGTCTAATGGAGTGTGCTACAGTGTGATATTTGCAACCTATCAACATTACTGTTAATTAGATTTTTATAGAAAATACAATGCAGACTTCAATCCCATCATTTTTCACGATGTTTCCTACTTTATTTTTCTCTAGGACCTAACTGAAGAAGAACGTGATAAATGGTACAGTGAACAATAAATGGAAGGGTATTTTATTAAATATTATACAACTCGTGGGTGGAGATGGGAGGGAGGGAACCGGGAGAGAGTGAGGGAACAGATGACACTGTATGAAAGGAAATGTGCTCATTACATGAATCATGTAATTGTAATCCCTCTGTACACCACCTCGATAACAACAATAAGGTAAATTAATAAAAAGAAATATTATGCTTGCATACTACTTAAAATAAATTGCACTCTAAACACTACTGTAAACATTGAAAAATATGTGTATATAAGGTTATATCTGCATAATGAAATCCAATGAAAGCTGCAGAGGGAAAGGAAGAATGGGGGAAACAAAGTACTGGAAGGGCTTAATCAAGTGCAATGTATACACCTGTGAAATGCCATGGGAAAAAAACTTCTTCGTACAATTAATACATGCTAGATAAATAAGGAAATAAATGTAGCTCTACCCTAATGCCAAGGAATAATGAGTTCTTTTATAAAACTTTACTTAAATATATTCTTTGGATACATTGACATAAAACATTTATGATCTTAAATGTACACCCATGTTTTCAAATTAATTTATTTGCCCATTAGATGGGCACCATCAAATACACTGAGATTTCTAATAATACAGTACAACTAAGATCTTACGCAAACTGCTTAACATGGTAATTGGGTCATAGATTTTTATTTTAGTTACTGTCTTAGACTAATCAATGAAGACAACTTGGATTTTAATCTTGTTTTCGACAGCTAATATTGCACTGTGCAGCCATTTACTCTCCATGATTATTGACTACGATTTTCAATAGCCAATTAAGTCAACAAGAATTTATGTTTTCCTCTTGGTCAATTTCAGTCATTGCATAGATATATAGATTTACCATATCTCAAAGCAACAAATCAAAGATGAACAAGCATTCAAGTGGTCCGATTTCCTAAAAAAGATGTCATTTCAGTTTCCTTGTTCCACTTCTACTGTGATCCACAAATTTGCCAACTGTACTAGTCTGTGTCATCTTCTCCAACCTTTGTTTCATTAAAGTGCCTCTGTGTTATTTTATTGTCATGATACAAAATGTTACCAAACAATTCAGTGTTTTTAATTGATCAAAATTGGAATCAAATACTTTCCAAGTGTTTTCAAATCGTTTTAAAATGAGAACATTTCAAAACCGTACTGATGCCTGATAAAAAATGATACTAAATACACACACACACACACACACACACACACACAGTCTCCTGACCTTTGGGGATTTATATACACACATGCTGATCGTTGTCATGACAGTAGGTGCATGGGTTCATTCTTTATAACCATTCCTCCACAACTTGAGCTAGCTCAAGTAGAAGGTAATAGGACCTTCCACAGCAATTGACTTACTATGTGCTCCTACAGTCACAGCTTTTCCATCTGTCACTGACCTGACCAATGGGGCCCTAGTGCATTCTGTGCAGTAGGTATCAATGTTTTAGTTCCCTTATCATCTGCTTGATAATGACCTGGAACTCTGGAGTCTCTCAGGACTTCTTTGACAAAAGACACACAAGGAGAATATTCTAGAGAGCACTCTCACTATTATAGATTCCAACTACAAGAACACCTTTTATATGTGTGTATGTCTTTAAATATGACAGAGGAACACATCTGAGAAATACTTTACCAATGCCAGTAAGCCCCTTATAGGTTCTACTGTTTGGTCAAGCCACAAAGAAGTGGAGAAACTCAGCACAGCTTTTCAGCTGGACAATGGGAACCTTCAGCTGTCAATTAAGTATAGCATCTTTGCTAGATTTAGAATATTCGTTTAGAAAAGTGAGTTAGCTCATAGCAATTTCTAATAATTTTGTGTGAAGGGCACAAAGGAGAAGACAAAATTTGAGGAGAACAGCCCCTAGAGAATTCTCCTAAGAGATTAGTCTGATTCATTTGTCCTCAATTCCAGAGATTTGAATGTTTTTGATAAGCACAAGAATATGTTGCAGATTCTTCCTGAATGACAAATGTTCCTAGGAAAACACTACTTTTATACCTCTTAGAAGGTAGGAAATCTGCATGAGTGTGCCTTATAATTGCCCTTTCATGAAGCCGACTACATTAACCAGATAATGACTTACATCTTTGATCATTTCTCTTCCATAAGATGGAGGAAGAATCAAATCACTGGACTGTTTAGCAAGGAGACTAGCAGTGTGACTGATGGTCACTGCCCCATTGCCCTGAACTTTTCCTTTCCATTTCTAAGAACTTTAACTATATGAATTGAATGTTTCAAAGCCAGAGACTACAGATGTGCATTAAAAAAAAACTGCTGTACTTCAGGGTAAGGGCACCCCAAGTCTTCAATCTTCTAAAGATGGATCTATTTGTAATTTGTCTTGTTTCTACTTGCATATAAAAACAAGTACCTGGATCACTGTAATCTGATCACTTATGTCTGCCATCTGAGCTGTGGCAGATTGATGCCATATCACTGATATTAAATAGTAATCTGTGAAATCGGTTGTTAGCAGAAGTTAGCCAGATTGCCTCTATGCTCTGGACTGCTAATAGACTCCAAAACTGGGCTTTGATGAGAATAATCTTTAATGTTATATGAATTTATACCAAGAGAGAATGGTTCAAGTCATTGACATGATTGGCAGTTAAGTGACATATATATGTATATATGTATATATATATGTGTGTATAATATATATATATATATATATATTTATATAAACATGACAAAAAGAACTTAATTGCAATGCTTGGTAGGAAGAGAGGACAGAACTTCTTTGGGTAAGACTGAAGCTATTTAAATGGGGAGAAAATGAGAAGCTTTTTGTCTGACTCTGGAACCTTTCATATAGAGAGAGGAGGGAGAGGATGTGCCAGCTCATGTGAGTAACATACTCCTCCCTAACAAGCTTCGCTTCATACAGAACTGCCCCAGAGGGAGCAGAATCGCACACAGCTCATTCCCCCCATGGAGGTAAGAATGCAGTTACAGTCCTCAAGCTTTGCATTGACATTAGGTAATGACGTCCAAGCAGCAGCTGTATGATCCTCATGCTCAAAAGAAAGTTTTTAATGATGATCAGAAGAGAACCTTGGTTCTTAGAAGTCAGAACAAGCCATGCACCAGTGGATCATGCCTGTAATCCTAGCTACTTAGGAGGCTGAGATCTGATGATTGAGGCTGAAAGCCAGTCTAGGCAGGAAAGTCCATGAGACTCTTATCTCTAATTAACCACCAAAAATCCAGAAGTGGAGCTGTGGCTAAAGTAACAGAGATCTAGCCTTGAGAAAAACAAAAATCAAAAAACAAATTCCTTTGAGGGACAGAGCCCAGGCCCCTGAGTTCAAGCACAGGAATGGTTACACATATATGTAAAAAGTCAGAACACTCTTAGAGAAATCATATAAAGGCAGGGCAAACTCACTCTCTAGCATGGGGAGGCTTGTGGGGTGGGGCTGGTGAGATGCAGGGGGGGAGCAGGCAGATAGTAGTGGTGTCCTCCAGGCGTTGCTTCTTCTCAGGGATTTTCTCCGCAACTTCTGCTGGCTTTGACAGGAAAACACATTCACAGAGCTTAAAATACTTGGCACATCCAGACAAGAATGTTTCACACATTAATGACATCAACAAAAGAGATCATTTGCTTCTGTTTTAACTTCTACCTTAGCTAGAGGAGTTAAATATGCACCTTTGATCAGACAGGAAACCAGTCAGCATTGCCTAGTCTAGTCTTATCAGAAAGTTGGTGTTTAAGAATGTTGAACTCATGTGAACCTCTCATTGAAGGTGGAGTGGCAAGGGAATCTCAAAACCAAAGTAAAGCTGTAATTTTCAGACACTTCTCTCATCAACAGTGTTCTTACAAATGAACAGTTTAAAACCTAACACAACTCCTAACCTGGTGTCATCCCTGTCTACACAGCATAGGGTTTACGGGGGAATATATAAACTTTTTTTTCCAAAATCAACAGCATGGATGGAAATGAACCACGTGCAAAAAGCATGTCTCTAGCTATATGCATGTATTGGTTCTGAAGACACACTTTTGTAAATCCCTGGTTGTAACGTGAACCAGTCGCAGTGCAAGGATGCCAGATCCCTTGCTCTCTATTTTAAAATCTTGGTCCACAACTCAGAGATAATACTAGTATGCTCCTTTGTCTTAGTGTACCCATGTTAGTGGACTTGCTTCCTGTTTTCTAGCACTCTCCTGTCGCATAGCACTCTCTAGTTGCCTAGTCCTATATTAAAACTAAATGAAGACAAATCATTCTTGTAGTATCTTAATAGGTCAGTATAGGGTTTAGGTGAGTTGCTCTTAGCTGAGAAACCGAGCCATTTCTAGCCATACTCAATTGTCCCCTGGAAAGAAGAAACAGAGAAAGGATTAGGAATTGCCTGTGTACCACCATGACCACTACTGAGGATAAGATTACCTGAATGCCACTACGAAACAATGTTCTTCTAAAAATAAAATAAACCTACCCAAAGGTCTAGAAATAAATCAGAATGATCATTTGCCATAAACTGATTTCTCTGGACGTATTCAATAGAAAGGGCTATTATTATTTTTTTCCTTCTGCCTTTACCTCTTAGCTCTGGAATTCAGCCCAAACTGTGTATAGGTAAGATTTTAACCAGGCATTTCAATCATAAAAATCATGGATTCTAGAAGACCTGATAGAATCCAAGACACTCTAAGGAAAGCTGGTTTCTAAGTGTGTTAACATTAGTGTAGAGAAATGAATAGGCCTAAAGAAACACGGCACATTGTGGGCACAAAGGTGAGTGACTACAGTACAATGATACACAATTCCGTGATGGCAGGAGCAGCTTAAGGAAATAATTCCAGGGGATTCACGTCATAGTCATATTCTTATTTCCTATTGATTGTTCCTAGCCTTTTATATATGGTTTTATATCTATCTATCTATCTATCTATCTATCTATCTATCTATCTATCTATCTATCTATCTATCTATCTACATTACTGCACTTCTTGTGGTAAACATCATTTCTTTCACTAAGGTCTAAAATCCACTGCCTCTTGCCTCATTGAAATGAGACTCAAGGTCAAGTTAGACAGAAAACAGCAACTGTTCATAATCCCTTGGTAAGTCCCAATGGACAACTTACCTTGTGCTTACGCTTGCCCTTAATGGCAGGTTTGTCCACAGCTGTGGCGGCTGTTTGACGCTTGGGTTTCGAGGCAGTCTCCTTGTGGTCTGGCTTGGTGGGTGTTGCTGAGAGTGAGTTGTGGCCAGGTACTCTAGAAAGTAAGTCAAGGTCAATTTTCACCCAGAGGTTTTTCAGGTTCTCATGATCTCGAAGAGGGGACAGAAGCTCAGTTTGCATGGCCGGAATGGGCGAGAAAGCTGGCTCTTCATTATTGATGGATGGGTTGTTGTTGCTGCTGCTGATCAAGCTGCTGAGAGATAGGTTGGCAGCAGAGCTCTCCTTGGATTTGGCATTATTAGTTGCAGGAATGATGCAGGGAGGCAGGACTTTGATCTGCAGGGTTTCTTCTTGGTCTGTGTTGGAATCAGATGTAGACGAATCTGATTCAATGAATTCCCGGGACTTTGGCACGATCTTGCTTGGCCCTCTATACTTCTTCTTCTCAGCAGCCAAGGGGATGTGAGCCCTTGGTTCTTTCCTCGGGACTGGTTTGTGGGCAGTGGCTTTGTTACGGCTTCTGGGCGGATCAGGAAGTTCCACGCTCTCTTTTTCTTTGGGAGTGCTGCTGGTAATATTTGGTTTCGGCCAGGTAAACTCCTCGATGCTGGTGTTTTTCTCAACCTTTTTGGGCTGTTTCTTCCCAATTGTCCTTTGAGAAGCTGTGTCAATAGTGGTCGATAACTTATGCTTCAGAGCTTTTGATTCTGGAGTTTTCTGGGTGGGCCGTGGACGGGCTTTCTCCCTAATGAGACTGAGGAGAGGCCGTTCTTTGGGTTCAGGCAAGACCTGGCGGGGGTTTGACTTCCCTTTGATCTGGACTTCCATTGGTTGTATGATTGGAGGTGGCAGGGAAATAGTCTCCATGGGTGTTTCATTTTGGCCACAAATAAATGACTTGTTCTGGGATGTTACTTTGTTAAGCCATTTATCCAGCTGCCACTTGTTGGTCGAGGGTGGTTCAGGCTACAGATTGAGAAACAGCCACAACAATTAATTTCACACTTGGGAAGAATATACAAGTATTCTCAATACACAGACTATTAGCTAATAAAATCTTTAGGTGTGAACTAACCATATTACACATAGATAACCACCAGTGCTCAGACACATGTACCCTACTTACAACGAAATTATTGAATTGATCTTCACTGGTATCTTGGCAGACACAAACCAGCCAGACACAAAGCAATTGATATAAACTAATTTCCCATCTTTCTATGAAAATATTTTCCACTCTGGCTAAGAAGCAAATAAGTATTCATAGAGAGTTGTTTCAGAGAGCAGACAGCAATGCTGCAAAGAAACCTTGTTCTCCAAATCCTTTGAAACATCATCACTCAACCTCTCACCACGAGGCACTGGCAATGTTCTCTGATCCTGAAAAGAAATCTAAGTGTGCCTCAAGTATAATTCAAAGGGAAAGAGCCAAAGTACCAGTAGTTTCTGTTGGATGCTGTAATTCAATGAAAACAGGACAAGTTCTTTGTGTTTTTACTGAAGGATGAAAAGGTTTGACTCCTGCTGCCCCAACCCACAGCATTTTCCACACCATACAGGAATAACCAATTTATGGAGACATGCATGCAGACCATCAGTATCCATTGTTAAGCCATGGAAATGACACCTCCAATTCTCCTTCTTGATTCTCAACTCTGAATTCTGCCATTTGAACTAAAAGAGCCATCATTTTTATTAGAAATGCTCTTCCTTTAAAGGCCATCAGCTAAAGCTTATGGCACCAACCAATAGAGAATGAGAGAATTTTAAACACTTGAGTAGATGTGAGATTCTAACTTGCACAGGGAAATGGCAGATAAGAAGCAAAGAAATCATATTAGCTACAACACAAGGACCTGAGTTTCAGTGCTGACTCTACTATGATGTCTCTGTGACATGTTGAGGAATTTTTTTAAGCTTCTCAGAAATGTATATTCTTGATCTATGAAGTAGAGACCATATTAACCAGTACCTTACAGGTCTGTTATAAAGAAGAAATGAGAAAAATGCAAGCCAAGAGCCTAACATAGTGCTTGCATATGGACTTTGTTCAGTAACTGGTATTATTAATGGTGATAATATTATTACTGTCCCCTTTTTGATGATGGAAAACAAGAGTGTAAAGTCCCATAGGCGATGGATGGACTTTCTTGCTGTCAAATTTGTAGCATTACAGGACCAGAGCAGAGAACCTGAACTCAAAGGGGAGGGGAAGGGAAAAACGATCCTTTGATTTCAGCATTATTGTTTTGGTATTTGGGAGACTGGGTTAAATGTTTTCATGAATGATCAGCAAACACGTTTGTTACAAACTAAAATAATAACATGTCATCTCGTCACTATTCCAAGTCTTTCTTGCCTAGTTTTGATGAATTACCTTAATAATGTTAACCTAAACTTAAGGATTGATATCCCCTTGGTCAAGAGTGAATCCTGCCAGTTTTTCTTTCCGGTTCTTACAAGAGAGGCTGCTCATTCAGTCATTACTAGTTAGTGTTAGAGGTGAAGAGGCTCAGAGTGAGTTCTATAGCAAATCAGACACACAGAAGAAAACAGACATATGTAAAAGCCTATGCAAATATGTCTTAGAGAACAAAAAAATGCTATCAAATACCCAGAGATATTTCCAACATAGTTTTTTTGTTCTGAAGTAGTGACTGTGCGAAAAAGGATATGTATGTTTGTGGGTGCTGTGTAAGGCACAGAAAGATGGAGGTTGGGGCTCTGGCAACTCTACCTACCTCCGGAGTGGCCACACGAGGTGCCTCGTTGGATTCACTGTCAGTGGTGCTGCTTTCAGTGTCAGAGTCTGATTCAGAGCTGCTCTCTGACTCACTGGAGCTGCCGGACCCCCCATTGGCTGGCACTGTGGGCGGGGGCTGGAGTGTGGTCAAGGGTGGACTGGAAGAAAAATGGACACCATTTATTATGTCCTTCAAGCTCAACCTAGACAGCACAACTAGTTTAGTATAAGGGTCTAAGATGTTTGAGCTTCAAACTGAGGGGACTGCACTGGCCATTTTATGGGTGGAAATTGGAGGATCCAGAGGCCCAATTGCTTGGCCCAATGTCAAACATTGGATTAGAATCAGACAGACTTGTTACCCTCACTCTACATGAAAGCTATAAAGTGAGGTAGCAGGCCACCTTTATGATACAGATTAGAAACAGATTCTGAGTTGTTATTTGTTCCTTTTGCATATTTCAGTTAAGATCCTTCCATTTTCTGTTACGATTTTGTTCCAAGTCTACAGGTCTTTAAAGAGCCCGGGGGTGGGGGGTGGGTGGGTGGGAGATGGGAAGGGATGGGAAGGGGAAACAAAGGAGGAGGCAACAATGCTTGATAAGAAATGTACTCATTATCTTGCCCATGTAATTGTAACCCCTCTGTACGGTATTTTCACAATAAAAAAAAGAGCCTGTGATTTCAGTTAAACCTGACATAGTCTCATTTCCAAAAATGAATGAGCACAACCCTCATTGTGATTGGAAGAAAGGAAGGCCCAGAGAGGAGGAGGACTTGCCTCAGCCGATCAGATAGTTGGAAAACCCAAGCTAGTACCTAGTGGGTGGCCCAGGGTTCTCAAAGGACAGAGGCTGGGCTGAATACTTCACTGCCAAGATTCCAGTATTCACTAAGGGGATAAGCTGGTCCTCCATTGCTTTCAGTGAGAGGGTGTACTTCTTTGCCTACTCCACCATATTAAACTCTTGGTAAAACTCTGACCAAGGAAGTATGATCCTAAGGGACAAGACACCTCTAATGATTGATTTTAAATTTGCAAAGCTGACCAAGCAAAGCATTTGCAAAGTGACACCATTTGCTACTCTGCCTTTATAGAGAATCAATACTCCTCCTTACCAATCATTTGTACTCTGCCCTGTAGCAAATCAACCTTGGCTAGCTTAGAGCATGCTGGGGTATAGTATTGTCTTTCTGTCCTTTTGCTGATTGTCTCTTTGGACCGAGCTCTTCTTTGTTTTCTCTCAGAAATAGGGCTCAATTTTTCAGTTTTTCATACACTATGGTGATTTGTTTTGCTCGCTCATATTACATGTCCAGAATCAAGGGCAGAAGTTTAGACAGGAGACTCAGCCCTGGCCCTGTAGGTCACCTAGTCCTATGGTTTCATCTCTAAACCTAAGACAGAGGGTCGTAAAGTAACCCCTCCATATGATTCTGGAAGCATCCATTCCCATACCTCACTTAAATCCATATAAGTTCATGCCATTATTCTATGCCCTCAACAGGGTCTCTTCTACAATATTACAGTGCTTACCAGCTAGCATGAAGTTGTATCAGCTGCTGCTTGGGAAGGAATGAAATCCCTTTGAGGTCACCATTCAGCACAGAGAGCCTTTCCATTACTTATGCTTTCCATTCTTAAAGACTGGACTTTAACATCCCAGCTAGGGATTTTCTTTTCTTTTCTTTTCTTTTTTCTTGTCCTTACTTTCCTTTTCTTCTTTTATTTTTGTCATGGTCCAGGGGCTTGAACTCAGGGCCTGGGCACTGTCACTCAGTATTTTTGCTCAAGGCTAACACTCTATAACTTGAACTCAGCTCTACTGCCAGCTTCTTTCGGTGGTTAAGCAGAGATAAGAATCTTACAGACTTTCCTGTCTAGGCTAGCTTTGAGACATGAGACTCCTGTGATCCTCTTGTGATCCTCTGATCTCAGCCTCCTTAGTAGCTAGGATTACAGTTACAAGCCCCCCACCTCTAATTTTGGCATTTTCTTTACAGAGTCAAGGCTCATTTAAAAATGTCAGCTAAGTAAATACAATCTGCTAGTACATTCCTATACCAAATGCATCAAGTGATTATAGGAAGGCACAAGAAATAGAGAACTAGCTCTCCTGGAAACTGTGTGTGTGTGTATTTCTTCAACAATAAGGAAAGGGGAAACCTAAAATTTTTCCTTCTCTGTCTTCCATTGTAGATCTCTGTTTCAATTGCAGTAATGACTCCATATTTATGCAAAGTACCCTCTAAATCAAATCAATTGTTTTTTATCTTTAGTTACTGAAAAAAAGACTGAGAAAATATATCTAAGACTAATGCAGAGCGATCAGGCCTTCCTTAATTCCTTTGCCTTAATTCTGCCCAAACATCTGCAATACTGAAAATGCTGGGTGGTTGATTGAGGAATAAGAACTAATTTGGATCCAAATTTCTCATGTTTCAAGTATAGGCTGTTTCCTAGTATTTATGCATATCTGTGTATTAATTTCTGGCTATTGTAAGAAGCTAGGAATCCTGACCTTATCAAATTAAAATAGACTCTGGATAGATTTGGAGGTATTTATGGATAGAGATTCAGTTTACTAGATTATTTTGGAGTCATCTCCATGAGAAACTAAAAGAAATCATTGAGGCAATTCTCTCAAAACAAAATCCATGGGGGGGGTGATAAACATAAATCACAGATGTTTACATTACTAATTCCTAAGCTAAATCTAAACAAAAGCTTCACCGATTTTAGTGGAGAATTGTATGTGTGTGTGTATGAGAGGGAGGGAGAGAGAGAGAGAGAGAGAGAGAGAGAGAGAGAGAGAGAGAGAGAGAATGAGAGAGAATGTAAGTGTTGTTTACTTAAAGTCCATCTGAGGACAAATCTGTTTTGCTATTCATATTTTTAATGTGAAAATTGATATAGTGAATGTATATATGATCTAGGAACACACTGGTAGGATCTGAGATACACCCCTCAATGAAACTTGTTAATGTTATTCCAGTAACCTTCACACTAAGAAAAATACTTAAAGCAGATATCTCATATCTGTTTTGGTCATGTTTGTCATCAAATGAATCTGATGCAAACTCAGAACCAACAGTTTTCAGGAATGTTTGAATGGTTCCATTGTATTGAAGAGATGATAGGTGTAAACAGAAACAACTGCATCCAGTCTGATGCAGAATGGAAGCTACATGACCAAATCTAGGCTTGCTTCATTTGGAGGCACTTTGTGCCCACCTAAGACTATTTCCAGACACAAACATGAATACAACACTGAAACACTGTCTTAACAAACAGGATAGACACTGATAACAGAGCAGTTGTCCAACGGTCATTTTCTTGTCTGGAATCCACTATGGAACTTGAATTGGCAGAGCACCACAATATTTCACTTTTAGTTTGTTGAACATTCTTAGCTGCTCAGATAGTTCAAGTCCAACTTTTGCTACATTTATTTCACATGTCATCAATTTATGTTTCAAATATATATTAAAGCAGCGGCTAGTGAAGCCATTCCACATGATACTTGATTCTGCTTAGTTAAAAAATAATGTGAAATTTACATGTTCTCTGCTCACCAAAACTGTACTAAAAATTACTTCCCACTCATCATGTACTCTCACGGTTTAATAAACTTAATCTAAAGGAACACTAGTGTTAAGATCAAAGATAATGAATAATACTATATATATGTATATCTACTTTACTATTTTTATCTACTTTAAAGTCCAAACTATTAAAAGTCTACTCTATGACTTCACATCTAATGCAATGAAACTTCTTAAAGGACCTATATTTTAGTGATGTCAAAGTCAATTGCTCAACCTTTACAAGATCTACTTTGTTACTGTATTCATCAAAATGAGCCATCTTTGCTGAATGGAGTAAAGCCTCATACTAATTCCAATTCATTAAGTCTTCATGGCTATGAGCCAAACTAAAGGCAAAGAAGCTGGCTTAACAGGATAATGGCCTTAGGAGGAACTCAAGGCTGTGGAAGGACGTGGAGTCAGGTCACTGGGAAAGAAACTTGGGAGGCATTTAAGGTGCCTTCTGTGGACAGATTTGGCCTTCCTGTAGGGAGGTTGAGACTACTAGAGGAAAACAATCAACTTCAAGAGACAGTACAGGGCATGATAGGCTCTAGACATGATTACCTCTGTACTTATATTGACAATTGGCCAAGCCTCTCTAGATACAACAGATCAACCTGATCCCACAATTAATGAGTAGATGCAAAAAGAAGTCTGGAAAAATATATTGAAGAAACTGGATATACTGACAAAACAAGATTTTAGAGTAGGGAGGGGTGATTATATAATAATAATGTTCAAACAATCAGAAACTCTGTCTAAGGGAAAAGGGAGGGGTCTATTCCTAATACCTTCTGAGGTAATATGTAAACCCATTAACTTAGAGACTTAGGAAGATTCTACCTCAATATTAGAGAAAAACTACTTTCTACTATTAGTTTTAAATAGCTGTCCATGGGGGGCGTTCTTTTTTACTTTAAACATTTATTTTTTATGATCTTTCGTTGAGCAAAGAAGTTTCAAGTTGATGTCAATTTATGAGTATAAAGCCTTCTAATCAGAATCATCCCTTCCATTGTTATTCTTCTCTCATCTATCCTATCATTATATTCACCTACCATTCCTCTGCATTCATCTGCTCTCCTCCATTAAACTCCACCCCTCACCCCCAGTCAGGACATGCTTCAGCTTCCTGATACTCATTTGGTTAAACTGTCTGTAGTTGTCCAAATTGTGCACTCATACTTGTGTATAACATACTTTAATCATGCGTGTACGTATATGGACCTGTATTTGATTCAGGGGAAAACTTTAAAATGTCCACATGTGATCACAGAAAGAATGTTACTCTGTATCTCAATAAGCTTTATTTCCTTAGATGACCATGTAGCCAACTGGCCATAAGGAATGTGATAGAGGAATCGAGGAATTCATACTCTGTGTCTGAAGTCTACTCCTTAAAGTAAACCTTTTTCAGTAATTTATCAGAGTCAGAACTATGATAGAATTCTTAAAGGATTAAAATTGCATTTATGTGGACATATTTTATGTAAGACTCTTTATTAATTCAAGTTAAGAGCCTCCAGTAAGTCAAATATCTACATTGGTGCTGTTTGAAATCAATCCT